GTGTATTGTCCGGTCTCTCCCGGTTTTGGAGTAGATATTTGATATCGTTACAATTCGAAAAAAAAAACCAACAACAACAACAATAGCATGTACAATAATTGAGAAAAAAGGTACATTTTTAAAGTGTTAATATGACATTATCAACTTTGAAACATTTTATTTAATTTGTTATTCGTGTTTAGTAAAGATGCCGATGAAATATTCAAAGTTACAAATTAGATTTTATGAATTATTCTATTGATTGATAATTTAAAAAATGATAAAGAAAATACAAATGTACATGTACATGGTTTAAGAATAAACAATATTATATATTGAAAGATTAACCATACTTTACTGACTTTTTCCAGTTAAGTTTTGACTTATAATCGTCGGTCAATTCTTAAAATTTATTTTACAATTTTAATAAAAAAAAGAGAAGTAAACATAAAATGTCAGTATTAAAATAGCACATAAAACACAAAAAAGAAAAGACAACAATATTCATATTTTTTTTTTTTTAATTAATACATATTACAATTATTGTATAATAAACAATTATGATCAACATGGTAATATAACCAGTGTCATATTTTTACTAAGTGTGAACAAAAACCTTATGATTGGGTCTTCGCTAATAGCGATAACATAATAAGGGACAATTACACAAGTGCGGTACGTGTTGATCATATGGATTATAAATAATTGTATACATGTATATCCGTTGCTATTAATAACCACGATCATAAATAAATAACAAGTAATATTCTAATCTCTAGCATGCCAATCAAAGTTCATAATGAACAATGTCTTTCGTCCGCTCATTCATAAGTTATATACAAGTAAAATGGTTTCCTGCGGTGAACATTTTTAATGATATAAAGATACATGTATTTCATTTAACTATTTTCAACATTGTTGGTGGGATAAATAAACGTTTGTAACAGGAATATAGTTGACAATAATCGAACAATATAGAAGAAGGTCTTTGGAAACTGCATGTGACCGTTGAAGACTGGAGAAGGTCGAACATAAAACAATTATTTCTTTTTAAGAAAATTATTAAATAGGCCTACCATTTTATGAATAATTCCGAGCAAAAAATTAATAAAGTAAACACACAAGTTTACGCAGAAAATAATATCTCTTTTTATTATGGCAGATGCCACTACGAATATTTTCATTTTGCAGATTTTCAGTATAAACAATTAATTGTTTGTAAAATTTGAGATAGATATGAAAATTTTCAAACAGATCATTCAAGTTTTTCCACCTTAAACGGTAAAATGATTATAGAAATATCACGTAATAGATTTTTGTTCTCAGTTAGGTGTAAACCTAATTCGGACTTATCCCTACAGGTAGATCCGTAACGTACCGGCAAACGGTATTTAGCTGGGTTTTCGAAAAGGTCAATTAACCAATCATATACGGTTTACAGATCACATGCTCTCCATGTACCGAAAACAGGTCACGTGCTCCTCCATGCCTCAAAAGTGAAACGCGTACCAATACCCTGCGGTCTCCAGACCGCAGGGAACAATACTGGTAGTTTATAAGAATATCTTGTCATCATATATCTACTAGTTCATCTTCACTTGCTGCATTTCTTGCTTGGACGCCCTTTGATGCTTTGCATCAATGCTTTTCTTGTTTAATCTCTTGAATGCACAAACAGTTCTATAAGGGAAGGGCACGAGAGATGAATTTATTATGTGAAGAACGGGATTGATTGATCAAATTGAATCTGTCATGTTCATACTTTAATTAAGTTAAATAATACCCATTGATCTTGTCTGTTTTAATTAATTGTTAATTTATGTGACTTACTTGAATTCTTTAAAAAGACAGCCATATTCAAAAATAAGAAGTGAATAATGAAAAAAAACGCGTATATGTATGAAAGCACATGAAATTTACGATATAAAGTAAGTCTGACATACATTTGGTTTCAACAATATTTATTTTCAATAAATTGATTACACAATATTTCATAAAAAGTACATGTGAATAGTTATAGAGAGATTTAACATTAGAATAAAACTGCAATGTATACAGAAAATTTATAAGTGTTCTAAACATGTAATCTAGAAAGCTAAAAGCTTATGCTAAGCCTCGCTTCTGACTAGATATGCAGCAAAAGTGGATGAATCATTTCCCGTTTTTTATGATTCACAAAACTTTGTTATAAAGCCTATGTAATTTTTCATAATTTCAATATGTAATGTAATGGCATGCACAAAAACATAGTACACAGGATTCGCAAAATAAAGTCAGAAAATTAAAACATACAATATAATGTTTCACTAAGATTCGAACCTACAATAAATTCATTTTTTTAAAACTCCTTGTCACCGAGGCTGTCTAGGCAAATGTTGTACTACCTCGATAATGTATACATAAACCGTGTATACCGTGTTCCGCAAGATTTACTCCGGAGTAAAAGGTCATTGAATATTCAAATGTCTCAGGTCAATGTTACACAACTTCTTATCATACTAGTAAAAAACAAGTAGGATTACATTAGTATGTATCCGTTCGTTTTAACTATGCTGAAGATAACACTGTGTGTTTCGCAATAAGTACGTGTGCACTTGATCATGACATGTTCATAGCATTTCATTTTTATATTCAACTGGGAGCGGATTGAAACATTGGACCGGTAAATTGACAGTTTTTAAAATTTATAAATTGTTATGAAAGCACATAGTTATACAAAATGAATACACCCGTTACATAGAATAGTATCATTTATGTGTTGTATACACATGGACATGACATGTGTTAACTTACTTTACATTTATTTAAGATAAAGCGTTAATATTTCTAGCAAATTAAAACCATTGAAACAAAATGTTACTATATGATGAATTAAATGTTAAAAACGCACATCCTGGTATAATATAATGATGCAGTATTATATATTATGAGAACATTAACAAACGTTTAAGCTTTGAATACCATAATGTTTTAAAGAGAAACCATGGCGAAAGAGATTCGTGATCCTGCCATTGCAGAATTGTATAAAATTAAAGAACTATGTTTAGAGAAAAGAGTTGACGAGGAAATTCAAAAGCGACTTGCTGATGCTATAACTCTTGCAGAGGTAAGTTAACCTTTTTTATAGTCCTTTGTAAAAGTTGTTTTATTTTAAGATTTTGATAAAATTGTAAAAATATTTATTTTGGTTCCTTTTCTCCCTTTTTAATAAACCCTGGATTTTTAAATTTGTATGATCTTTTCATGATAAAGAAAATTTTTGTGTATTTAAAAGGGAGTTAAATTAGTAGGGGGCAATTTTTTGTATTGTGTAAGCCCAATATACGGGGCGCTATTATGTTTCATTCAACAATGAACGAAAAATTGTACAAAAATTACTTTGAATTTCCCTTTTGAGATCCATTTTTTATAATGTCATAATTTTGGGCCCTAATGCTTTTTTAATTTTTATTTATCAAAACCCCCCAAGATAAAAAAATTATTTTTTAAAAAGTTTTAAAAAACCCTTTAAAAAAAAGGAGTTTTGTCCTCCGGAATATTTCAGAAAAAGGCAAATATTTTTTGTTTTTAATTTTAATAAACCAGACCGAAAATTTTTCCCCCCATAGAAATGTCAGGCAGGATTTTCATTTACAAATTGTTTCAGAGGCACTTCACGTGTTCGTTTAAGGTTTTCCTTATGACCGCTGTATCAACACATCTGCGGTTGTTTATTTCACCATAAACATGTATATTTTTTAAAATTTTGCTAAAGCCGGTACTATGGGATGTTAGAAATGAATAGATAGAAAAATAATCCCTGAAGTAAGTAAAAAGCGGCAAATTTAAAAATGATGCTGGCTCGGATTGATTAAGTCTGTTCATGAAAAGTCGAATGTGCTGTCCAACCCCCTAGCACCGGCTTAAATTTAAACATGATAATGTTGATTTTAATTTAAAAATTTAGAAACAACCATAGATGTGTTAATACGGCGGTTATCATGGAACCTTCAATGTGACACCATAGTTCCATTTCATGAAGAGCGTCGTATGTCTCCAAATTAAAAGAATGCGTATGTTAATTTTAACGAGAAAACAATTAGCGAAACTCAATAAAATGGAAATTTGAAAGGGGATCAGAGGGTATGAGGCCTCATATCAAAGATAGGACGTCAAAAGACAAATTAAAAAGCAGGCTATATTTCATAGGTGATTTTACAGTACTTAGAAAATATAAAATGTTAGAACCACCCAATATGAAAAAGCCAAATAAAAAGAATTAAAATATACCACAAACACATAATTTGTGTCGTGTACTAGTAACTTGCACTTTCAAGAACCGTCCATGAACCGAGCCTGCAACATTTTCAATTTGTAATTTATACATTTGCATTTTTTTTGAATAATTTTTGGGTTCATTACATTGATATTTTTTGAAAAGGCAGTGTACAAAAAAAAAATTTAACCTCCTGACGTCAAAGGAAAAAATTATGTAATTAACATAACATGTATTGTTGTATAAAAGAATAGTCCTGTTACATTTTAATAATTTTTCAATTTTTAGCACGTGAGCATTTGTAAAAGGGTGTTCTGGACCCCAATGAACACTTGCTTACCCTACAGGGAAAACCATCTGAGTTACCCTTTTGATCAAAGCTTTTTAATGGAAATGGGAAAACAAAAGGCAGTTACAACTGCCTAGAATGGATGTCAGGGCATTTTCGAAGGTTTTGGACAAATTTATCAAGGCCTTGAGAGATTTTACTTACGCATTGTTTCTCATTAAACGGCTAAATTGCAATAACTATTTTGCTTATCATTCTTGTTTCCATTGCCCTTGCAGGATCTTAATAAGTACTTGTTACATATTTGGTATTGTCTTGAGACCGATATTTTAAAAGGTTTATAATAAATTTTTATCATGTATTGCTAGCAGGTGTTCTCTATAATTTGTTGTTCGGAAACATTATTCGGAATGAAGCAAAGACACATAAGTCCATATTTTGAATATGTAAATATAACGAAACTCGTGGTTTTTTGTTACAGGCTTAGTAAGGATGCAGCTTTTTTGCCTTTTTATATTGATATTATTAAGAAATAAAATATTATGCAAATATATCTTTTCAGGCAAATTCTTGCAAAGTATTGTTAGCATGTCAAAAGCTAAAAAAGTTCTTGAAATTGGTATGTTTACCGGATATGCTGCTTTGGCATGCGCAGAAGTACTTCCGGAGGACGGCACCGTAACAACATTAGAATTTGATCCCTTTTTAGAGGATGTGGCAAAAGAATTCTTTTCAAAATCCCCACATGTAAAGAAAATCAATATAAGAATTGGTAAGTTACAGTTAATAAAACCAAAATAAAAATTGTGAAATACGGATTTATTGGTAATTATTTCGACATAAGGTTTAGATCATATAAGATAAAATCTATTTAATTTCTTTTTTGAAATCATGATAACCTGGTTGACCAAGCTGACTATGATTATATTGTTTTCGGGCATCTCCCTGTCCGTCCAAATTTGATCCAACCGTGTTGCTCTACCAAAACTTAATATTAGAAAATATGATGAATATTACAGTTATTACTTTATTTGTTTTTAGGAGAGATACAGCTGACAAAAAAATAAATCTTACTTGATCACATTAAAGAATTACCCTTTATTTTATGTTTCATTATAGGGACTTTGTTGCCGAGAAAGCACGTTTTCTCATTTCTAATCCCGTATTTTTTCTTCCGAATTATGAACACGACAGTGATACGGTGAAACTCACCGTTTCGAAGCCATTCTTCCCGCACAGAAAATAACATAATCTCACAAAAATCTGAAAATTCTTTAACCTGGCTTGTTCCACTTGTCAGACTATTAACAGACTAAAGCAACTCGAGCGCGCAGTTTCTTGTTTAGTTTTGATGTTTTCATTGCATAACCTCCTGAAAAATCCATTTCTTCTTAATTTAGATAAGTTGTACATGTCTATAAACATATATTGTATGTTTTATGCAATAAAATCCTAAGACTTTATGTTTGCTTCCGAAAGTTAAAGCTCATTAAGACACGCTTTCTCGCTTACCAGAAAAACCTTCTCGATCCCGACATTAACCATGTATTTTCTATTTTCAAGATGTTTTTTTCTACATGTTTGCTTCCAAAAGATCTGTCTTTTTCAAGATGATTTTTCTACATATAACATTGACTCAAACGTTTCAGGTGATGCCAAGGACACTTTGCTAAAGCTTGCTGAAGAACAGGCTCAATACGATATTGTCTTTATAGACGCTAATAAAGCCGGCTACGTTGATTATTTCAAGGTAATCTGAACTATATTTTGATTAATTGGCAAATTAACGATGCACCGATAGTAATAGAAAAAACACACCCTCCTCTGTGCTGGATTCGAGTTGCACTACGCCGACATACACTAAAAGACTTTTTTGACGCAACACTTGTTCTTTTTAGTGTATTTTGGTTTTTAAAGAATGGTTATTGGTGAAATTAAGAGTATAGATATATGAACACCTCATACATGTATTGTAAATAAATTATGGTAGTCAATGAATGAAAAGGTATAAAATTTAACAGAAATAAAACATGAGAAACAGATAATAAATCGCAAAATTCACAACACACAACGATGTGAAATGATTGTTTTATGACAGCTCTTATCTCAGGATAAGTAAAACATAATATAAATCAATTATATCGAATATGTCCTCCTGAGCTTGTATAAAACCTAAATACACCTCTGTCTCATGGATATTACATAATTCCTCAGAAATCTCTGTGGAATGTTCCTCCATTCCTGCACCAGGTTCAGCTATGGTAGGTTCCAGGGTTGTACCGTCCGCCTGCGCACACGCCTTTTCAACTCATCCCACAGGTGTTCAATAACATTCAAATCTGGAGACTTGGACGGCCAGGGTAGCTGCTGAATGTTTTGCTGTTGTAGTAGGTCCCGGGTGACATGTGCTGTGTGAGCCGGTGCACTGTCGTGCATAATTATCATACCCCGTCCACCAGCTAGAAGATGAGGAATAGTGACATGAATAAGAACGTCCTGTTGATATTTACAGCTGTCAGATTTACTCGAATGATGATCGAGTCGGTCTTGGTATGTAGGGACACACCAGCCCAAACCATTACGGAACCACCGCCATACCGGTCACTTTGAATGATGCAGGCGTCGTTCAACCGTTCCCGTTGCCTTCGGTAAACTCGAACCCGACCGTCACTATGAACAAATTAAAGCGGCTTTCATCCGTTAAGAGGACTTTTGCCTACTCTGCATGCGTCATACGCTGATGCCGGCGAGCCCGCTGTACCCTCTGTTGACGATAAAGTGCAGTAAGGACAAGGCCACTTTATGGTCGTCTCGTTCAAATGTTCTGGTCGCGAATATGCCTGATAACGGTCTTGCTACTAATGCGTCTGCGATGCGTAACAACAATTTCTGTTTATGCAGTCGATTCGGTGGTCTTAAATCGGTTTTGAAGATGAGTTACAATAATCTGGGCATCTTGTACAGGTGCTGTGACCCTTCCACGAGGCTTAGCCGCCGATCGTCCTCAACTTGGACGGTGCGTTGGTACTTCAACAGAAATCTGGCTATGAGAGACACATTTATGGCAAAAACTCGCGCCACATGAAAATATACAAACAAGAGTGATATTTTTTTATCCAATTATAGGAAAGTACATATTATGAGCAAATTATTTGTCTTATCACAAATATCATAAATAAAACATTGTTAACTTGGAACTATTAGTATTTAAAAATTTAATATAAGACAAACTTACCTGTTTCGCTGAATGATCTGCTTGAAGCATGACGATTGCGCGTGTGTGCTATTGTAATTAAATGCGAATCATTTTACGTTTTACAGGATGTCTATGATTTTTTCAATTATGCCTACTCAATACTATAATTATATTGAAATAAAATCGAAAATGTTTGCCAAAATCGATTCCCTCGTGCAAAAAGTTGATTTTAAACCTACAGAACGTGCGAAACCGATTATCCGTCCTGGATGAATGATTTCGTTGAAAGTATTTGCAAAAAGTAGTAAAACCGGTTCTGGTAAAATATAAGTAATATATTATCAATAATTAATAAGTCAATAGTATAATTGAACTGTTTTTGTGAATAACGAATTTAAAAAGTGTTGCGTTAGAAAAGTCTTTCAGTGTATGGCACTGCATCTAATTGAACGGTTTACATGTTAGCATAACTTGTTTTCGGGTCATGACATGCATCGCAAACTGAAGTTTTTCACATGTTTGTGTTTTCATTAGTTTATGGCTATCTGTAAAGAAAATTGGTCATTATTTTTGCCATTCATTTAGAGTTTTCGAGAATGTATGTCTATATTTTTGAATATATTATATGGAGAGAAATATTTTTCTGTACGCAACATCTACATTTCCTTTGGGATATTTACTCAAATTTCAGGGAATGACTGTAACCAAATGCCATGGCGCATACTTAGTTATTACTGCCTATTTTAGAATAGCTTACTATGCAGTTAGATTATCTAACTATACAATTCAAAAATCCACACTAAGCAATGTGTTTTCTCTATTTGTATATCTGTACTATTATTTTTTGAATTTTGACAAAGTTTGTTTGTGCGCTACATCTTGTTGTTTGATAATAATTATGTTTGTCAAGGGATTTATAAAAGATTTGTGATGATTTATATCTAAATTGATCCGCCCGGTTTACACATTTCCTCAATGGTGTCCATTTCTAGCCAGTTCAGTACTTGTTCGTTTGGATTACTTATTCTTTAAATTATCTGAATAGTTGTAAATATAGTTAAACAATGTTTCATCTAAAAAGTTTTCTTTAAACGATATATCACAAGTTATAAATTTCACTGAGTATGTTCAAAGCTAGTTTTGTTTTGTTTCCAACAAATCGAGTCTGCAATTTTATTTCAATTTTTGTTGTGAATTATACGTTTGAATAATGCTTCTAGGGACATTTGTCAGGATTTCTGTATAAAAGATATTATGTAGTTAGATAGAAATGAATATATAATATTTATGCAATGCTTTTTTGTACATGCATATGTCTTTTTATTCTTTTATTTATTATGATATTGTTTTAGTTGTTTGTAACATTGTAAAAAAATGAATTGTGCGTCTTCATTTTTCTTTCCTCTTCCACATGGAGAGTAGACTGTGATGCGCAAAGATCTTCTTGCTAAAGGGGGAACGATAGTGTTTGACAATTCCCTCATGGCTGGCCATGCTTATAACCCTGAATCAACCAATAAAATCGGACTTGAAATAAGAAAGTGCAATGAATATTTGAAATCCAGGGACGATATATTCCGAGTAAGTAAAACAGTCAATTTGGTTTATACAAAATTTATTTTAGTTTGATTATGTAGGAAGCTTGTAGCTTATAGGCACATTATCAAATCCGTGTGTGAAACCAACTAGTACTGAGCAACGACTGTAAAGTTTCTTGCGCTGCTATTTGACAGTAGATGGCATCCTTTATTCTCCAGTTAACCTTTACTGACTTGGATATGTTTAAAGCCTTTGGAATCGAAGAAACCAGTCATACCGAGCCTACAACATTATTGTGTCAACTTGCTTGACATTTTTCTCTATTTTAAAATTTCCTAAAGTAATGATGTATCTTGATATATTTAACTTGTTCTTTCAAGGATACACTATCCCTTGTATTATATATTTCCAGGTACTTGTGCCAATCAGAGATGGTGTTATGATCGTGAGACGAAAAACAGATGTGTTTTTGTAACGCTCGTTCAGTTATAAGAAACAAGAGAATACCGTTGTCACATAAAATGACAACCGTATACTAGTAAACTAGTTGTATAAAACGTTGCCCAATAAATATTTACATAATTACAAAGACGATTTTGTTATTTTTTACATTTTGGTTAAGACATTTTGTCCTATTCTTTTTTTTCTGAATAAGTAATATGTAGTAATATGCAATTGAAGTATGAAAAATAAAAATTAAATTAGATTTATTATGTATAACGTTATATACTTTAAAGTTGCACGCCTCCAGATGAGCAAAAATATGTCGATAAAATCAAACCTGTGAAAAATGTAGTACTAAGATTTTAGGAAAGGAATAAAGATTTAAAATTCTAGTAAAAATTGACATGTTTTATGCGATTAATGACCGAATTTTTTAGTATTTATATCTATATTTCTACTGCGTTACTAACGCAGTAAGGGCTATTTTTGCATATTTTGACCTCTTTATAGTAACTTACATAGGTTGTAAGTGGCATTGATAATGTGTAAATTGCATTCTTTTGGTAACTTTACAATATTATACTGTTAAAAGTTTCATGAAAATCAGCATGAATCTGGAGGTGTGCTGCTTTAAACTATCAAAAAGGTCTGTGCAAAGATTTTATGCTTAAAGGAAGATTGGAGGTTGCATCTTAAATGCTGGATTCAATACAAAAGTTCTGGTCCTTGTGCACGTCAATCTTAGAATAAGACAACGTGTCTACAGGGACTAAAGTGGAAAAAAAGACATTAAACATTTTTTTTTATAATTTTCCTATTTTAACGTTTCATATCCTTTAGATAATTATACAATGTTCAGTTAGAAATACTTGAACCACCAAAGTTGAAAAAGGTCAAATATTATAAACTGAAATACCACAAACATGTATACATAACAATAATGGCGTGCTGAACGATTTTCAAAATGCTACCCTATATGGGAATCAATTATTAGTTATTAGTTATTTAAGTCAGAACTTCAAAATTCAATAAAGGTGAGTGAACATTTCATATATAAATTTTCTTGTAAATCATTTTGATTTATAACGTGAAAAAACAATTTATCATAATATTGCTTCCATTTCAAGTCGAGCATTTAACTAAAACATTCAGGTAAAATGGATGAACCCTCGGAAGCAATGAAAAATAAAATTACATGAAAACTGAAGACTAGGTTTGATTGAGTCTGTACATTTGGGATAATGGAAGTGTGCAACATACATGCTAAAATCACGCATTCTGACGACAACGCTTAGCCAGAAAAACCTCAAATCAGCATCAGCGACCAATTTCAAAAATCAATTCAAGATTTAAAAAAAAGCATAACTGTCCACAATGATAAACGCTATGAAAAAAGCATATCAGCATATTTCTCATATGATAACTGATACATCGAAAACAATATGTATACCTTAGACACTCTTTGTTCCACGTTCTATTTATCATGCCAGGAGAGTGTTATTAATAGATATAACTGTTTGAACGGGATTGATCCCTCGGAAGCAATGAAAACAAAGTGATATGAAAATTGCAGACTTGGTTTGATTTGGTCTGTTTATGAGAGATAATTTTTGAAAGTGCAACGTCTCTCACAGCTCCTAGCACCGTCGTAAGGGGTATTCAATATTCAACACTACCTTGCTGGAATAAATGATCCTGAAGGCCCGGGAAAATATTACAACACAGAAGTTAAATAAGGGGAAGATGTTTACGGCTTTCACATGAAACTTGACACCTGCTGTTTTTAACTAAACAAATATTGAAAGGAAGCAAGGATATGACGTACCATATGGTAAGTTATGACGTACAAGTAAACTTGTCTTTTTGTAATGATAACAGTCCCTGTAACATGCATATTTAAAGACCAGGTTTGTAATTTTATTTCAAAATTCATCGTCCAGTTAGTTTAATAGGTAGAGCGTTGGGCGAATAGTTTCCTTGCAAAGCTGCTTGAAGAAGTGAATGAAATGTTCTCTTGTAAATTCAGTGTGGCTTTCTGTCGTGATCCTGAGCTGAGTGATAACAGCCAACACCACCATTATTTTATTTCACATGACTTGATTTTCAAACGGTAATATCTGACTAAAACGTTTGGTTTGATGGACAATAAAGTCCAAACTAATCGATCTAATCCTGTATGGAATTCTTAACATCAGTATAAATAGTCATCATCATCATCATCATCAACATCATCATCATCACAATTGTTTACAACTTCGCCCAAATGACATTGCTGAGTTCCCGTTATTAGAAATATATTTGAGCAGTTTTAATACATAAAACAAATACATGCAAGGAGAAAATTAGAAAAAAATTTAATACGGAGTTATTACTATCTTGTCGTGCAATCATTTGAATTGTTTAATAATTATATTTCAAACTAAATTGAACTATCTCTAATACTGTTGGAGTTATTCGCTAGATAAGAAAATATAGAATATGTTAAGCTCTGGCCTCTTTCTGGTTTGCGCATGACAGGTTAATATTTTTGTAAAGCTATTACAAAATCACTTGATGGATGAAAAGGTTATGGACCGTACGCGAAATATTCCTTCTATGAAACAATGCTTATCTTTGGTCTTGACCTTGCAGATATTGATCTGGGTGTTGCACATGACACAATGTTTTAATATAGTGAATATTGTCTTATTAAATCAAGTAATAGAAAAATAGGTTATGACCCTGACACGACAAGCACACACCACCAAACAATTTTGGGATTTGATCTCCAAGTTCGACACTGACCTTTGGCCTCTGAATGTTGCGCTTGAAACGTCGTCATAATAAGGTGAACATTTGTGCCTTGCAGTTTCAAAATATCTTGATGGATAAAAAGTTATGGACCGGGTCCGAAATATACCCCTCATCAGAAAACATTTACCTTTGATGACTTCGTGTGACCGTGTCCCTTGGAGGTACCACTTTGGGTGTTTCGCGGTACATGTCGTCTGATTATGATATGCAGTGGTGCAAAGTTATTTCAAAATCCCTTGATGAAGTTATATGGGATGCTTTCATTGAATACCACTCTTTCCATGTTAATCTTATTTTTCGTATTTTATGACTCGAACCCGAAGTAAGAAGATCGGAAGGACAGAAAGATGGACAGGCATTGGGACGAAAGGCAACGCATACACCGGGTAGGCGAAATAACCTTCCGAATGACAGGTATCAAGACCGTGCCGATACTAAACAATCAATTTTATGTTGAATAGTATCATTTATTTTACAGCTTGATTTCGGATTAAAACTTGTACAAACCTATCGTGTTTCGTAATTAAATGTCCTTAAATTACTTTTAATGTACATGTATATTCAAGTTTTGTTTAACTCGGATTCGTTTATCATAAATTAAATTCAAAATGTGTTTACGTTTTAAATTTAGTTCATGCCTGATTACATGTTAACATCTGTCGTTGAATTCATTGCTTACATGTATTCTCATATAAAGTGAAATTTGTTAATGCTGAACATGTTTAAATATTCTCAATGCATCCGTTTATTTCATTAAATATTTCTCATATGTTTGTTTCTTTAATTTATTGTTCTTGATCCATATCTTATAATACGAATGGAGAGTGTGTAACTTCCAACACATTCGAACTAAAATAAATTCGTGATAACAAACATATTTTAGTTACTTTACTTTCTTAATACTAGTTTATCTTATTTTCAAATGAATTCCTGTGTTATAAAACAAATTATAAATAACACGTATGTATTATGATATTATATTAAATATTACGATTTCACAGTGAATTTTCCGTAATTCACAATAAGTGACAAGACTTAAATGTTATCACAGGAACTTATTTTACCCAAACTAAAATTACAGCATAATAACTACCACATTCCCATCATGGCCGTCGTATGAACACATCTGCGGATTTTTCTAAATTAAAAATTACACAATTTTCATGTTTGAATGTTGAATTCTGCTTAAGCCGGTGCTAAGGGGCATGGGCGGTAACTTGCATTTTTCAGTACCGTCCATGAACAGACTCAATTAAACCGAGCCTGGAACATTTTCAGTTTTGGACGTTCTTTAGAGATTCCGTTTTTTCTCTATTAAATTGCATTTGAAAATTTCAAATTTGTTTTACCTTGATATGCAGCTATTCTGGCTAGGTAAAAATTTCAGTTAAAACAACTGGAAAATACCTATGAATCGCAAAATAGTTTTTTTCAGTTGCTTTTAAATTTTTGATATTAAAACTGTTAAACTAAAAAAAAATTTTTTTTGCATATTTGCCGATGAGCATAATGCCATTTAAATACACGCTCTAGCAAACAATATTAATTGATTTATGTAAACCCTATATTAAGCAAGGCTTACATCTCCTTCCAAGTGTGGAAAATTAATTAAATTCAAGCCAAAATCCTCCCTTTGATCGTAAAGTTTTGTTTGTAAGAAAAACATTTATATTCAAACTGATGAATCCGACCCAACTTAGAAGTTTATTTCAATTAACTAGGATATGTACATTTCAACAAATACTTGATCAAAATATGAAATATAGATATTTAAGATGTCATCTTATTAAGGACTTTTCAAAAACATGTTGTTGAGTAACAAGTGAAAGGCTCATCAAAAGCAACATTTTTAATAATATAAAAACACATTTGCGACAAGGGGTGTACAATAAATACCAAAAGGTAATCCATCTTGCTTCCAAACCTGACATATATACACCAAACAGAAATGAGTAAGGTCACATTAAATAAAGTATAGCTTTTGACAGTACGGAAGCCCTTTTAGAGTTTCAGTCTAAATTGTAAATTGTCTTCTTGCAAAAGATTTCTGAATTAATGATAAATTATCAACTTATTTGGCAAGGTTATATTTAATGTAGAAGTTCTAGTAAAAGAGGAAGCTTTGAAATTTTTGATATTTGTCTTATTTTCCCCGGACTTTGTTTTTTACTGATTAGAAAAGATGTTTCCGAGTTTGTATAATTCATAAATATCCCAAAGTACTTGTAGCATGTTTCTTTATCGCAGTCAGATGGACATAAATAATATTGGGAGATTCGAATGTGTATAAGAAGTAACATTAGCAATAAATAATAATAAATCGCTTTCATTTGCATTACATGCCGATTTTGATGAAATCTTTCAAAGCTAGCCCACCGTGCATATTCAGGAACGCTGAGTGTGCAAATAACGTTAAAGTAACGCCGAATCTGTGTAGAAATTTTGACAAAAACGAGTTACACAGTTGCACAATTCTGCATTACTTTTGCACAATTCCTGTCTAATTTGCATATTCCTGCGTTACTGGATATACACGGTGTAGCCTGTGTCTTTATAAAACTTATCAAGGCATCAGTAAGTATAAAATACTTTAAGTACATAGTTTCTCTTGTATGGTTTCACAGAGCACAACACAGTACATGTCATTTGGCCCGTAGTAGAGGAAGATCTCAGGTGCCCTTCCGTGCATTATTGCAGGCACGAAAGGACGCCTAACAGAATTTTGACATATTTACTGCATTAAATAAGCATTCAAATAATGGTAAATATTTACCTTGTATATTCTTGCGTTTTGTCTTTTGAATATTTTCACCCCAAAGAGAACACTGAGTATAATCTCCAATCTACATCATCAAAGATACATTGTAGAGCAATCTCCAATCTAAATGTTTAAATATTTATATATATTATGTATCAAAAAAGCTTTAACTGTGATATACAGATCATTTCTTTTTATTTATTTCGCGTCATACTATTCTTAGGGTGGTATAATTGCAATCTGACAACTGACGCAGATCTTGGTATGTTTAATGTACTTCGTCTGAGCATCACGTATTCACTGTCAAAACTGTCAAAATTTGTTATGGTATGTCCATCTTTCTGTCATTTAAAGCATACTTTAATATGAAAATAAAAAATAATGTTGAATAGTGGCATAGTGGTATTCAATGAACGCGTCCCTAAAAACCGCTGGTTTCTTAAGATCTTTGTGCATTACACGCGCTTTGATTTTTCAGAAAGTCATGAATTGGTTCAACGGCTGTTTTAAATAATAACAAAATAGATAAATACGATCTTCTGCCTGACAGTTTGTAAGCTTGCCATGAATGCGTTGTTTCTCTCTTTAAACTGAGATGACTTCTAGTTCCATTAGAACTAGAGTTTTCACTATGAATCCATCATCTACAAATAAAGGAATATTTTGTACTCTTACGATCGTAGTATTTTTACAGTGAGGTCTTATCGGTCATCAGTATCGGTAATATTTCACAATTATGATCACTGTTTCGGAAAACAATAAAGCTCTATCTATTAGGTTATTCAAATAAGTTCTTAACATACCATTGACCCGTTGAGGACCTGGTATGTGCGTAACCCTTGAAAAACTTATAAATTTCTTCATGCATCAGCCACTAAGGAGCTCCAAAAATGATCTCTGTGGAAAGCGGGACGCCATTTTGTTTGGGTATTGAAAAATTGTTTCCAACTTCAAAGTCTGTTTTTTTCTTCATTTTTGGTGTTATTAAACCTCTAATTTTATATCACAATAAAAAAAACTTTTATTATGTTACATATTATAGAGACAAAAAGCATTAACTTATTTTGCCATTAGATTATCATTTAATGTATAAATACACACTACCTTAGCTCTTGTCGCTCCCCTTGTAGCTTAGAAGCTGCCTTTAAGGGTTTAGGTATCAGAATTGCAGCCATCGTTTATCTCTTCGAGTTTCTAGGCGACTTAATGGATTTACTGGCGTCTATGCATATCTTTGCTTCAGTAGAAGTAGTGTGTTGACCCCTGTCTGTGCGTTTAAAATTTTAACTTGAAGTTAGCCAAAAAAAATCTTTCATTTTACGGCGCCATATGACCTAAACTGTGTTGGTGCGCGGTAAAAACAAGCAAACAAACACAGCTCATGTTGCCTACATTCTCCCATTACAAAATTAACGTTATCTACATTTCACAATTACCGCATACATTATAAGGATCTTACACCGGCAGCTGGTAAAGACCGAACGGCGGTCGTGTTTCCACTAAACAGTTATCCGAGAGCTAGATATTCCGGTACTTAACGGCAGCCGGTGTAAGATACTTTTTCTTGCATATAACATATTTTTCTTTTAAAAAATTACAAAAACTAATATTTTCATTTAGCACTATTTTTTATAGTAGCTTATGATTCCAACGGTAACATGACGTCATTCTAAAAACGCAATTCATTCATAAAAACTGCATGGGAATGACGTCATTTAAAACACGCGACTTGTCTTAGATGGGCGGTGTAAGACAGGTTTTTCGGTAAAAACAGAAGGTAATCCTGTCTGATATGCAAGAAAATATATGTATAAATATGTAATATTCTATAACGAAAAGCCTATTTTTAGCACAAGAGAAGTTACTACTTTCAAGCAATGAAAGGAGAGCCCATTTAACAAGAAAATATGTTAAATATATAAATTACATTCATACCAGTCACTCATCCATCATAAAACTTGCCCAACCAGTTAAGAAGATAACACTGTGTATTTTGAAAATAAACATAAATTTCATCACGTCTTGTTTCAGCATTTCTTAATTGTATTTAATTGTGCGCGGATTGAAACATCTGACTGGTAAGTTTTCAGCTTTAAAAATAAATAGGACTATAAAATAAACTGTTATGATAGCACCAGGCATGGGTCGCGGTTTAATTCTTGAGTACTCCTTGAGTATTTTGTATTTGGACTTATGAGTTTTGCGTACTGAATTTGTTGAAGTACTTGAATAGTACTAAAGTACTTGTGAGTATTTATGTATAAGTACTGGGATAATTTATCAGATACAGCTCAAATTTATACTACTACTACCACGTATAATAATAATAATAATATATTGGAAGTAGACAACTCCCGGTTTTAGTTCGCTGCCTTCTTGGTACCCTGTCGTGTTGGCTGTTGGTGTGTCGGGGGTCGCGTCCTGTGAACGTTGCCTTCTTGGTACCCTGCCGTGTTGGATGTGGGTGTGTCGGGGATTGTGCCCTGTGAACGTTGCCTTCTTAGTGCCCTGCCGTGTTGGCTGTGGGTATGTCGGGGACTGCGTCTTGTGAACGTTGCCTTTACCTTGTTGATCTTTGTTCTCGTCTTCTTCGCTGCTGCCTACAATTATGTGTGGGCAGTGACCACATTTCGCTTGTACCTTCGAAAGCAATCCCTTCAATGATCAACATGTTTTAACACAAACAATTTTCTTGAAGCAAATACACAATTCATACTGACAGAACCATGAACTCACTAATTTGAACATTCAATTCAATAAATAGTCTGATCATTGACGTCAGAGAGTAATCGATAGATCCTTACTCTGACCTTTTACTTGAATAACAATAGATATTTAATCACAAATGTTATCATGTGCTCTTTTGTTAATAAATAGTTTGTTGTAAAATTCTTACTGTAGCCACTGATCTGATAAATAGAATTAAGCAGGTCAGCGATCTATGCATTGGTAATTTGTGGCTGTTATAGGTAAAAGTGATAAACGAATTTGGATAGATTACAATGGATAAACATTTTCATACAATAGTAAGTTAAGATGAGCGATTTTCAATATCAATATAAAATACAGTTTACAGATATTTAATAGAATACAATAGAATACGTGTAGACAATACGTAGCACAATAAGATTAAAAGTCGATTCCGACATGTACAAATGCCTCCGAAGAAGGAAAAAAATATCATAAAAAAGGAAAAATATTTTAAGGTTATCAAACAGATAAAAGTGATAAAACATCTAGTTTGAGTGGAAAGGCTAAAGTTAAAAAGATACATATTTCGTTTTTTTTCTCTAGAACAATTAACTTATAAACAAGAAAAACGTTTTTTGGAAAACTTGATGCAATAAGGACAATTATGTAGCTTTAACGTTTGATTCTATGGCTGTAAGGATCAGGAGATATGGAAAAAGGTAGATCCTTCGGAAGCAATAATCACAATTAAATTACATGAAAACTGCAGACTAGGTTTGATTGAGTCTGTACATTAGGGATAATGAAAAGGTGCAGCATATCTCATGTCGTATAAACACGCATTACTGCCCACAATGATAAACGCTATGAAAAAAAAGCAATTAAGCATATTTATCATATGATATGTTATACATCGAAAACCATATGTATACTTTAAACACTTTATGTTCCTTAATTTTTTTATCATGCCAAAAGAATGCTCAATGACACTTAACATTTTTGATATACTTTATCAAATAGAAAAAACAGGAATCCCCAAAGAAAGTCCAAAACGGCAAAATTGAAAATGTTGCAGACTCGGTTTGATTGAGCCTGCTAAAAGACGGTACTGTCATGTGCAAACTACCGTTTTTTGTTTTTGTTATAAATATTTTTTCTTGTTGTTTTTTTTGTTTGTTTTTTAATGGTTTTGTTTTTTTAATGTTTTTTTTTTCTTATAGAGAAAGTAATTTTGCACTAGAGAGGAGGGAAATCAAGCTCAAGAAGGAACGATATAATTATATTGGATATGTGGCGGAACATTTGCAGGCTACTGTCCTCAAAAACAGGGTGAGAACAATCAGCAGGAGGAGGAACCGTTAAAAACTACCACATTATCACACCACTTTAATATGGAAAAGTCACAAATGGTCAATTCATTTTTAGGCCGCCATTAAAATTATGAATTTTACAAACATCTTAAAATATTCTCTAGATTCTAGAACATAAGATCTTCTCCAAAAATATTTTTCTTATGCATTTGTCTGATATTGTTGGACAAGGGACATTCGACTATGAAATGGAATACATCCTCCAGAGTGTTACAAAGTTTACAAATTCATTGTTCAAATAATATTTTATGTGCTGTATGCCATCTATGTACTTCTACTTAAAGATAATGTGATGATACTCTCAGTCTCGTTAATGCTTTTCTAAATTGTGTAATTTTTATAATGTATGAATATGGCAGCCTGATATCTAAAATATGAAAATAGTTCATATGTCCTGGCTCTTGTCGTATTTTCTAACTGAACGTTCCAAAGTTGTAATCATTATAATCATACAGTCTTTGCTTATATACATCAATAAACATTTTTTTGATTCCAGTTCTTTGAAATAGCCACACATGAAACCTAAGTAGTTAAACAAAGGTTCAACTCCTTGCTCGCTATTGCCTCGTGCGTTACGCTAAAAGAACCACTCGTGAATGTATATACTAAAGATTTTTAACAATGTCTACAACATGACCGTTAAATGTAAAATTCATATTTCTTTCTTTTTTTGCATTCTTCTCTAAAATCAATAAAATGTAAATTAGTTTTTCTTTAAATGTTAGCTATTAGTTTCCATTTCATACAATAATCAAATAACAAATCCAAACCTTTTAGTAAACTTGTTTCTGTTTAAGCAAAAACACAATATCATCAGCATAAAGCAAAAGGAACTGTTTAAACATATCTTTAGCTTTACACCATCAAATCCATACAATGAGAGCCTTGTATGGCTGAAGTAATTGCTGAAGTAATTGTTAAGATGCTCCTGAAGTCGTATATTTTGTTGTTTTTTTCCAGATGACTTATATTCTTTAAGATTTAACTAATACATGACAGTTTTCAAAATATCTCATCATAAAATGTGTGATCTTTATAATTACATACTGTACAATTTGTTTAGGCATTATTTGATTGCTCATTCCCAGTTGTTCTCAAATTCCATCTATAGTCATTGTGTAGCTTCATACGCGCCATTTGTGTAACTCAATACGCGCCATTTGTGTAACTCAATACGCGCCATTTGTGTAACGCAATACTCGCCATTTGTGTAACTCAATGCGCGCCATCTGTGTGACTCAATACGCGCCATTTGTGTAACTCAATACGCGCCATTTGTGTAACTCAATACGCGTCATTTGAGTAGTTCCATAAGCGCCTTTTGTGTATATCAATACGCGCCATTTGGCACATCACTCACAAAACTTTCAACTACATGATGTATGATGAAGTACATTTGAAAAACACAAATATTGATATATAATAAAATAAAATTTGATACGCTTTATCACGAGGACATTAAGATTAAGCTGTGCATTTCATCATGTAAACTTTTTCCCGGCGATGAGACAATAACTTTAATTATTTATTCGATTTATGTTTTGAAGGGAAATGGTGAAAGACATCCGTGATCCTGCCATTGTAGAGATGTATAAAATAAAAGAACTGTGTGCTGCGAAAGGGGTAGACGAGGAAATTCAAAAGCGACTTGGTAGTGCTATAACTCTTGCAGAGGCTAGTTGTCCTTTTTAATATTCCTTTCATAAAGTTGTTAATTTGTGAGAAATCGACAACTTAACAAAGATATATGTAATATCGATACGATTTTTGTTTTTTTGTTTTATAAAAGCTTGACTTTTAAGTATTTACTCGTGTCGTGATTATTATTATCATTATATCAATGTAGATTTCCTTCAATGTGTTATTTAAGACGTATACGAAAAGAGAGCAATCTTTTCCCAATTGCACTTAAAATGTTATTTGCTTTTATCATTTTGTATGTATAAGTTAAATGATTTGATTCAACGAATTCTTCTTTTACGAACTTCAGAAAATGTCTTTCAAGACATTGAACATTCGTTGCATATTATAACGATGTTGTCACTATTTCAGGCACGTGATGCATATTGTGAAAGTGTCAGTTCTGGACCAAGTGATGCACTTGCTACCCTACATAAAGGCACGCTTAGTTACCCCTTCGATCAAGCTTTTGAGGATGGGAAAACAAAATGGCCATTGAGTCCTGTAATGCTATCTGGGCATTTGGAAGGTTTGATGTTTCCTTATGGTCAAGGCCAAGGTCACAAATGTATTCGTAAAGTAATGATTTGATTTTTTTCATAAAAGTGCAATGATGGTTGTGTCCGGTCTTTAATTCTGTAATTCTACATATTGATGATGCGACGCGCATAGAGGTAAGGTCCCCAGTCTCCACAATTGTATGTCAATCTTGAAGGTTGTAAATATTTTCTTCTTTTGTACACATCTTTATCGATCATGGATGGACTTTGAAAAGATTATGTATAAATTTGCTGCTCATTAAGATGATATGAAATCAATAAAATTTATATCAGCATCCCAAGCGTAAATTTCATACAATAATGTCAAAAGCCATTGATAGCCAGTCATGTCCAGTCCATGTCGTTATATAATTAAGTGACATATTTTTTAATATACTAGTTTAAAAATATGGTTCTTTACAACAATTTTCTGATGGGTATATAGCTTAAGATCAAGGCCTTGCACGTTCATTTAATGAAAGATCGAAGTTTATATGCATTCAATATTTTTGTCAACCATGAATGGATTTTTATAAACTAGGCATTGTTTTGTGGCACATTTGGAAAAATATCTTACACACAAGCGCCAGATTGACAGTTTAAAAGGTTAAAATTATATTTGAATAACAAAAGAGGACATTGATGGTTGTGTCTGCTCATATTTTTGCCATTTATTCATATACTTTTTGAAATAAATGGGCTCACTGAAAATATGAGAAAAATATTTGTTAATGTTTCTATATTCTTGTAACACTTTTTAAGTAACCATGTCTTTGATGCAAGTCAAAGTTTATGTTCCCTCTACTGGGAATTGCTTCCAACATAAGTTCGTTTATAGAATGAATATTGTTAAGGAATACACGTTTAGAGCGAAACAAATATATCTTTTTAGGCAAATTCTTGCAAAGTATTGTTAGCATGTCAAAAGCGAAAAAAGTTCTCGAAGTTGGTACGTTTACCGGATATGCAGCTTTGGCATGCGCAGAAGTACTTCCAGAGGACGGCACCGTAACAACATTAGAATATGATCCATTTTTAGAAGATATGATAAAAGAATTTTTCTCGAAATCACCACATGGAAATAAAATCACTGTCAGAATTGGTAAGTTAAAAGTGTGTTATATAAAACAAAAGAAAATTGGAAACATTAAGGGAAAAGCGATCTTATTCTTAATAATTTCTAAATAAGCACTTCCTGATCCTAAAGGGATGCTAAGGCAAAGTAATGACAAAAATATTAAAATGAAATATGTACAGAAATCACGATTAAAATGACATTTTTTAAAGTCCAAGCATGAATTTCTGTTTAAATTCTACATACGTGTATCAGGTGTATCTATTGTTCTCCTAAATAAGGAAATCGACAAAAACACATTGTTCGATAAAAAAGATCTAGAGAAAAGGTGATACTTCGGAAGCATGAATAACCAAAAGAAATCACATGAAAATTGCAGACGACTCGGTTTGATTAAGTCTGCACGTGAGAAATAATGAAATCTGCAACGTCATGCACGTCCCTTACGGTGCTAACTTTTCATCGTTTATATTGCTGAAATAATGAAATCAGTTTACAAGCACAGAAAAATTACCATATTAAAACATCTTTAATAAAAACTGGAGAGGTGACACAAGATGTATCAACTTAAACGTTGATTATAATTATGTGTCAATATAAGTCTCAAAAAGAATCCACCTGGCTTGTCCTACGACCACCCGTCTCTTTATGATATGAGCCGCGCCATGACAAAACCAACATAATGGGTTTGCGACCAGCATGGATCCAGACCAGGCTGCGCATCCGCGAAGTCTGATCAGGATCCATGCTGTTTGCTATCAGTTTCTCTTCTTGTTATAGAGTTTGTAAGCGAACAGCATGGATCCTGATCAGACTGCGCGGATGTTGGATTTGTCGTGACGCGGCTCATATGTTGTCTTGCATATCTTAAGATTTCAACATTTATAATATTCGCTTGGAACATTCGAAAATTGCATCAGTTATTCCGGTATTACTCTATAAGAATCTGCTTATTGCTGAAACACCCATTTTTTCAAACAACGTACAAAGAAAGTGAGATCTGGTTTCCGCTTTAATATTGCTGCATGATTTTCATTTTTAATAAAATAATTGATTTTATGAAGCTAAATCATCGATTATAATTTTTTTTTTAATTTAATCACTTTCTACTTAATGTAAGTAGTATATAAAAAAAAAAGTTCAAATTTTATTTGCAAATCGGCAAATCCTTGCCTTTGGCAATACATACAAAACATATACATACATAGATCTTGAAATATAGCACACATAACTACAAGATACATATATAAACATTTCAAATATCAGTATTCGTTTTGAAATTAACAAATAACAAAGTAGTGTTAATAATATATCATTAATTTCGTCTATTTATCATTTGTTCCATGTTATTAGATCGTAAATCAAAAGCTTTGTCCAAGTACTTACTTATCAGTAATAATCTATGTTTATTATTAGATGACATGATATAATAAAACTTATTCAGTGTGGGAAAAGATGCATTACGAATAAAAAGTTTTCTTAATTCTGAATAAAATGGACAACAAAGCAGGAAGTGATATTCGGATTCTATCATGTTTTGAGTACAAAGTTTACATATTCTCTCACTTCTGTTTAAACCTATATATCTGCCAGTTTTTCAATTTCTAGAGAATGGGAACCAAGTCTGAAACATGTCAAACGTTTTCTTAACTTGTCATTTTGTATTACATTTAGATATTCCTCAAAACAAAAATTTGATTTTGAAATTCCTAAAATAAAGAGTTTTTGGCATGTTATTTATTTGCTCATGCCAATTTTGTATAAATTGATCTCTAAGGCGTTGTTTAAAAAATTAAGCTAAAATCAGAAATAACATTATAGTTATCTAACAAATATGAAAATCCTAACTCATTAATAATAGTATGAGCTTGCCTAGCCCAGCATTTATTATTTCCATTAACACATTGATCTAAATACATGCTATATATAGGCGAATGCTGATTATTAACAATTTTATTCCAAAACTTTAAAGATCTTTCTTTACATAAAATTGACAAAGGAAATTTACCAAGTTCTCCATAGACAGCACAATTAGGAGTTTGTTTTTTAACACCAAGTACATATTTATAAAATTTTATTTGCAGTTTATCAATATCTTTATATTTGTAAATTCCCCATACATCTGAACCATATAACAGAATTGGAGTTATCAGACTATCAAAAAAGGTGCAGTTTAGTTTTTACATCTAGCTTTATTCTGTCAAAAATACCCAATAGACTGTTATATGCTCTAAGGCCTTGCTCTGCAAGAGTCTTAGTTGCTTCAGAAAAGCTACCCGTATAAGAAAATTTTACACCTAAATATGAAAAATTATTCAACAATATCTACAAATTGACCATCAATGTTTATACTAAAATTATGTACAGATTTCCTTCTTTCAAAAACACAAACTTTAGTTTTATTAACATTTATTTTAAGCCCCCATTTTGACGAATAACTATATACATTATCAACTTGAGCTTGCAAGCTCTCTGGACTTGTAGTGAAAAGCACGATATCGTCTGCAAAAAGTAGCAAATATTTAGACAAGAGTTCAAGGTCGCTATTCGACATTTTGTTAAGATCTATACATTTTTCAATATCATTTAAAAAAAGAATAAATAGCAGGGGAGATAATGGCTCGCCTTGCTTTAATCCAAGAGTTACGTCGAAAAAATCTGACATACTCATAAAAGCATTAATTTTTACACATGACACTACAGACGAATAAATTGCCTTAACATATTTATCATTTTACAACTAATACCAGTATCTAACAGCTTAATCCATAACGCATCTCTTATAACTGTGTCAAAGGCCTTTTCATAATCAATGAAAATACAATAGAGTTTAGAATTTTTTGCTAAAACTTTTCTGAATTATGGAATGAAGAATAAAAATAGCATCAGAGGTTGATCTCGAATCTCTAAAACCAAACTGAATATCGCTGAAAATTCTTTCTGACTCACACCATTTATTAATTCTATTGCGCAATATCAACGAAAAAAATTTTGGCCATACAATTTACCAAAGTTATGCCCCCTGTAGTTCGAGGGATTATCATGATCACCTTTCTTATGTATTGGGACAATTATCCCCTTACACCATGAATCGGGATAAACACCTGTTTCAAATATTTTATTAAAGATAACACACAGATATTTACTTATAAAATAATTAGCATCAATGAAAAAATCCGCCACTATATTTTGATAATCCGCACTTTTATTTCTATTCAACGATGAAATTGTTTTAGAGATCTCATCTATTGTTATTTGGGTATCTAGCTGCTCGACGTGTACAGGTGAATCACGTGACTGTGAAAAATCGTCTGCATTTAAAGCGGCTGTGTTGCGTATTGCAAATACGCGAAAAATGATCAACAAAAGCATTTAAATTTTGACAATTATTGGCTTTCGATTTACTTTTATACTTATTTATATATTTCCAAAATTTCCGGGGAGACGTTTTACACATATCTGAAAGATTTGATTTCTCCTTAGAATAATATAAATATTTTGCATGTCTCTTAACCCTTGCATACTTAGTTCTGCTTGTCAAAAATAACAACATATTTTCATTAGAACTGTTCAAAGCAAAATTTCGTTTTTTGTTTAGAAAATCTGATTTAGCATTTCTGCATTCATGATTAAACCATGGCGATTTTCTATTATTTTTTTGCTTATTTTTATGAAATGTTTTACCATGACATTTATAAGATATATCATAAATCGTTTGAGATAAAGTGTTTATACAATAGTCAATATCATTTTCACCTGACATTAGTTTATCACATATATTTTCAAACACATGTCTATTTTCTTCCAGCAAGTTGCAAAAATTATTATTATTTTCAGTATTCCATACAATTTTATTTATTGGTGGTACCTGTATATTTTTGCTATTACTTTGACTATAACTTAATGAAAATGAAATAGGACAGTGATCTGAAAATTCTGTCATATCCATAACACATACATCGTTCAAAGAGGAAAAATTTTCGAAATCCGTTAAAAGATAGTCCACTGTACTCATAACAGCTCTGTTTCTAAATTTCGAATGAAAAGTACAAAAACCTGGTTCTAAGCGCCCATTAGCTATGATAATTTTATTTTCTTTGCACAAAGTTAATAATTTGTAACCAAAAGAATTAACGTGTGTATCGTTGTTTGATCGCTTCGGAATATCCTGGATCTCGTCGGTCGGAAGCGCAGTGAAACGATCTAAGTGAATGTTCTCTACATGGTCCAGCCTCTCACCCGTTCGAGCGTTGAAATCGCCCATGCAGAAGACTTGACCAAGGTCACTATATTTACGAATATCCTCATTTAATTGCTCAAAAAAGTCAAACTCGAAAAGTTTGGAATTTACATCTTTATAAACATTTGAATCCTCAGGTGGAATGTAACATGTACCTAAGTAAATATCTGTTTCACATCCAAAATGCTCTTTTTTTAATTTAATCCAAACGATACCTTTTAAGTTTATATTCACAATCTCAAGCTTATTTACCAAACTATCTTTATAATAAATAACAATCCCTCCACTACTACGTTTCGCTTTTGACTTACTGTTAGGTCTAGGACCATGTACATAATCAAAACCATTAATTTTTAAATTTGTAAGTTTTGAAGTCCATGTCTCTGTTAACAGCACAATATCATATGAAGAGATGAGATTTAAAAAGTCAATATCATTCAACTTAGACTTTAACCCATTAATATTCCAAGATAATATATTTAAGTATTCCCATTTTATTTCCTATTTAGTAATGTTGCGGGCAGAATTCTGTTGCTGGGCACCTGGAATTGTAGGCAAATTTTCTATTTCTTGTATTGGGAGAGAGTCTACCGTGTACATTTTATTATTGACGAAAAGTTTGTCCATATGTAGACTTGCTCGTAACCCAGCATCACGCGCTTTCTTCAGAGACGGGTAGAGTAGTCTCCGTCGCTGCTGGACCGGAACCGGAAACTGATCGCTCACACTATGATTTATTGATCCTTTCTTGTCTAGTACTCTCTGTTTTATTTCAAGCTTGTCTTTATGATAGTTAAATTTCACAACAATTGGACGTTTTTTGTTGGCCATAAATTTTCCGACTCTATGCGCTCTGTCTATTTTCAAGGTGTTGTGTGCGTCTGCAAAACCTAGTGCATCAGTACAAAAATCTAAAATTTTCTTTTCACAGTTCTCTCCCTTTCTATATAATATATATAATAATCTATGTGCTGTAATAATGTAATAATTGAGAATAAATAATGACAACACCAGGAAACAGAAATACTTATTCCTTTAAATTACTGATTGATCCAAATTGGCTGTCACCTAAACATAATTATCAAACTTTTCTGTTATAGAAGTGATACTTTAAAACCCGCCATTAAACGACAGAAACGTGACATGTAAATAATTATTACCAATCATTGCTTTAATTGATTAACATACAGCAATAGCTCTAAAATACATGAGGATAATTCAATCTTGTAATTTACATTTAAGAATGTCAAATATGAAGTTGACTTTAGTGGTTTACAGTCACCTATCATAACAAATCGAACCTCAACACAAAATGTTGATTATGACTGCCTTAATATATAACAAAATAACTCACCACTGTGCACTACTGTCCACTACAACAGCAACATCACCAAAATGTAACCGAATATCAATAATTTTACATACTGTGACTGTCAGTAGAAGAGGTTATATCAAACATGTGTCAAGATATTGAAGATATAAAGTGATCTTTTACATTTCGTAAATATAAGAGTCTCATACCTCAATTATCTAGAATTAGATCTTACTGCTTCTAGCTCATAAAAGATCTTACAATTGATTTATATAAATAGACGAAGCAACATCCAACCGACGATGAAGTTCAGAGTAAAAAATGATGCTAACGTACTTCAATCTCTCCTATTTCACAGGAGAAAATGAAGGGTTTAAAACTCTAGGTCCCCTCCTCCCCCTTTTGGCACTTCGCATAAATTTCATCGTACCGTCAAATTCTATTTATAACCTTAACATATTTTTTGTTTCTGTTAGACATGGTGAACGAAATTGATCAAATCTGGAAACTCAATGTGATCCTTCGGAGGCATTAACCACAACAAAATTACAAAAGAATTGCGGACTCTCTTTGTCTATACATGAGGGATAATGAATAAATGCAACATCACTCACGCCCCTTAGCACCGGCTTGAGCGGTACTCAATTCTCAACAGCCGACATGTAGAAAAAGTTCTACATAAAAACAAAACACAATTTAAAATGTGTCTCTCTTACGATACAGAATTAAAAAAAACAACTTTAATATCATTTTATATTTTAAATAAAATTGCAAATGTATCACCAAAAGTGACACAATATTTATTTTAAATACACAACTGTCCCTTTATATCGTTGAAATTACTCAAATTCAAAATGCCGGACGAAACACGCCCAAATATTCAATGTTAGCAGCTAGAAAACATAAGCTCCAACGATCAGTTTGATTACAATTCGCTCCTCCTCAATAACCTACTAAAAACCAACCAATAAAAACTACTTCAACTGGTCAAAGTCTTTTCGATATTATTTTAGTTATTTTGAATAAATACAAGTCTATGTATTAATTAAAGTAACCTAACTGTTCATTTATCGTACACTCATTACAAAAAATATGCTATCAACAGTAGATCAGAACATATCTTTGTACAATTATCACATCGGTAACAAATAGAAAAACATTAAAAAAAAATGGAAAAAAAAACAAACAAACAAGCCCCTAAAGAACGCCCCAAACGACAAATTGAAAATATTCCTGGCTCTGTTTTATTGAGCCTGTTCATGGACGGTACTGGAAAGTGCAAGATACAGTCCATGCCCCCTAGCACATGCTTAAGCAGAATTCAACATTTAAAAATGAAAAACTGTAAAATCTTCAATTTAAAAACATTCAATTTGAAACGAATACAACCAGACGTAACGGTGTCTCAAGCAATGAAAAATTTGAACTATCACACATTGACAGACTCAATCATACCTGAGTGTGAAATTTACGTGTAATTTGGTTGCTTTAATTTCTTCCAAGGCATCTCCCTTGTTCCAGATTTTTCCACAAAATAACCTTGCCCTTAATCGTTTCAGGTGATGCGAAGGACACTTTGCTAGAGCTTGCAGAAGAAAAGGCTTAATACGATATTGTCTTTATAGACGCTAATAAAGATGGATACATCGACTATTTCAAGGTAATCTTAACAATATTTGAAATGACCAAAACATCTTTACAAGAAAAATCCCGCCCTTTGTTTTTTTTTATTTTGTGTAAGAGAAATAGCCTTCTGTTCACAAGGATTATGACCATATCTGAAGTTAATAACCTATCCTTTGGCTTTGTCTTTGTTAAAAAATATCTTGACAAAGTTTGTATGAGAGCTACATCTAGTTGTTTATTAATCATGAATTTGTCAAGTGATTTAGCAACGATTTGTAAAGGATTATGTCTTCATTGATGCGCCCGCTTTGTTCATATCCTTAATTGTAACCTTTCATGCCCGCCCATAACGTGTTTGTTTAGGGTATTTTCAAATCTGAGTAATTTAACAAACTTGTTTTCTTTTAATACCTGAAAAGTTGCAATAAGTTTGAATATTGTTTCACATGTAAACATTTTGTTAAAATGATAACTTACATGTAATAAATATCGCTGAAATTGTAGCTAAAAGATAAAAATAAACTGTCTCTGTAAAATAGTTGTCAATTAGTGCGATATGCAATTAAAAAGGTTTTAAAGCTTTTAAGTATATACTTGAACAAAGCTTCTTATTAAGGCCTCATAAGTAATATCGTTTGGTTGTTTTTCGTAGTGTTATATACTTTATCCTTTGCTTGTCTTTGTACATGCCTTTTTTATTCTAACATGTTAAATGAAAGTTGACAAACCCTATTTCGATAGCAGACAACTTTCAGTCGTTTATAATTAATTTATACAGCCATGCGCTTGAGTTTTGTTTCGATGTTTATTTTTCATTATAATGATGTTGTTCCTTTTTTATGATAGTATCAATTTTATCTGCATTTTTTATCTTCCACATGGGAGAGTAGACCGTGATGAGCAAAGACCTTCTTGTCAAAGGAGGAACGATAGTGTTCGACAATGCATTTATGGGTGGTCATGCATATAATCCCGAATCAACAAATGAACATGGACTTGCAATAAGACAGTGCAATGAATATTTGAAATCCAGGGACGATATATTCCGAGTAAGTAAAACAATTAATTCTATGAAGAAGTCTGCTTCTTTTGCTACGTTACAGTTATCTTTGAAACTATTTATAGTTATACTATTATATTTTAACCTATGTGGCTGTTACAATTTTCATCAACTTGCTCGTAACACTAACATAGCAAATATATTCGCCGTTTTCTAATTAGAAAACATATTTAAAATTCTGAAAAAAAATCCTGGAGAGCCCGAAATGAGATTGTTGTCACAAGCAGTCTTGGCTTCTCTCTATGTTCGGTTTCTATAATTTCCTATTATGTATTATTAAAATAATCACCCCAACTTTTTTTATGCACAAAATATGGGAAACGAGAAACTTAAAGTTGCTGAAAGGCCATTTTAGACAAAAAAGCTAAAATATTTAAAAATTCTATCCTCTGCTTTTTCACAAACAAATCGATTCCGTTTATTTTCTCCCCAGTTTGTTAATCTCTACTGGGTTGAAATGTGATTAATGTTTATGTGGCTTTTTTGGTTTGTTTGTTTTTGGGACTCAAAGGCATCATTAACCAAAACCTGCAAATAATTTTGTCCCACCCCGTAATCGTTACATTTGATTAGAATTCAAGTATTCCCGGTAACCAATTGGGGACTGAATATTTTACTTCGAAATATCGATGGTTTCGATAATCGAAATCGGAATTATGGATAGACGAAAACTCTCCACTTTTGACCCAATCAGCTCAGTCTCCCAGACTACACGTGTTCTAAAACCTTGGTGTAGACCGTGCCTCTGTGTGAGTTCGTGAGGGAAAAATAGATATTTAAAGAAAAATGCCCGTAAAACTTATTTTATGACATTGAAGACAATAAATTGTGCATTTTCAATCGTAGCATCTCTCTGTTTTCTTTCGCGCCAAATGCTCTCGTTTACCAATTTTGCTCGTCCTATACGGTATTTACAGCTAAACTCTGGTATTTTCGATTAGGAAAAATTAAGGCTCTCATGTAGCGTTACAATTAATGAAAAAAATGTTTTGGATGTTTTGACAAATTCACATATACGGAATGTATAAAAAATTAATTGCTGTCATCTTAAAACAAAATCGGACACGGTGCACGTTAATTAAAGTTGATTAAAGAACACACGAAGAGTTATTATCATGATTGTCTAATTACACGCATGACAGTGGATATTTTTCACAAGTCGACTGGTCAGCGAGTGGATCTGCGTCAATTAGTCTGGCTTCGAATAATAATTAGGCTGGCTTCGAATAATAGGTGTGAAATTCTTTCGTAATTGTATAATCGGGACCGAAATTTTACTTCGAAAAATAGGAGGTATTCGGATAATGCATTTCGAATAATACGCTCGTATTTATATTGTTTTATATAGAGATAAAAACGGGACCAGCGATCTACTTCGGATAATGCCGGGTATTCGAATAAAGGGTTGTCGAATAACCGGGGTCGGACTGTAGATGAAGATGTATTTTAATAAATGTATTCTTTAACCTTTACGTTAACGGTAATGACATCTCATTAAAGTTGTTCAACTATTTAAATGTCGAGAACGTTTACCACTTTATTCCTCTGAGTGACTCTTATATTCGTATATATGTTTCCAGGTACTTGTGCCAATAAGAGATGGTGTCGTTATTGTAAGACGAAAAACAGATGTGTTTTTGTAAAGATCGTTCAAATAAAAAACAAATGCACACACCGCTTTCATATATCTGAACCAATAAATATCTACTATGGCACTATCAATTGTTTTAGCAGCAGCTTATGGTTTATCCTTGTCAAAAAATGATTGTTCAGCTTAAAAATGATGTAAAGCTGTATACATCACTGTCTATCAAAAATTCTCGGTTGAATGTACATGTATGCATTTTATAGCCAATGATGATGGATATGAAAACTGTACTTATTCGGAACACTGTACAATGTACATATACATCTAAGTTAACTATATATATACACACTAGTTTGTACACGACATAAATAAAGATATTGTGGTGGAGATCTTTGTTTATTTGTTGTTTTTTATGATTATTCATTTGTCGAAATGGTAATGTAATTGAAGTATGAAAAACAGAAAGTGCAGTAGGTATTTCATGTATAATTTTACATACTTATAAGCAATCCGATAAAGGGCTGACTCGTAGACAAGGGTATATGGCCATTGTATAATAGACATAGTTGCATCTGTATGTTTGGATGCAATACAAAACTTGTGACCCCAATACACTTAAATTTTAAAAAAAAACAAAATACCACAGGGAAAAAATTTTTTAAAAATCGCATATCTATTGTTTTTACCAATTACATCTCAATTTAAAACTAAATACTGCAAAGATACGGGTTTTTAAAAACATATTTTTTGCCAAATTAATACTGTAAAATTTTTCATCTTTATAAATTTTAAAGGGGAAATCTTTATGGAAAAGGGTTACTGTCCATTGAATTCCCTGAAAAGGGGTTTTGAATACAGCATCTGGGTATTTTAAAATTCAAATAAACATTTTTATCTTTAATGACATTTGTCAAATTCATCAAGTTGACTGAACTGAATAATATTTCAAAAGATTGATGTTAAAAAAGGTAATTTACAACAGTTCTATTGAAAATTTTAGGATCTCCCGAAAAATAAAAAGACGCCCCGCTCTTTTTATGAAATGAATGTTACAGGTAAATTCTAATGGATATTTACAAAAAAAATTCATATGAATCCATGCGTTGTTTATTGTTAATGTGAAATATTTTTTTATATGAAAAGGAATTATGGCAAAATGTAAACTTATTTTGACATTCACTTGTGCACTCATTTATACCCTTGGATGGGCATAGTATCACTTTTAATGTAGTATATTGCTTAATGTTTAATACTGCTTAAGCCGGTGCTAAGGGGCGTGGACGGTCCCTTGCTCAATCAAAATGCAACATTTTCAATTTTGCCGTTTTGGACTTTCTATTGGGATTTTATTTGTTTCTATTTTAGGACAATACTTTTAAAAAGAAATGTTCAATAATTTTCAAGTCATTAATTTTAAAAATACCATACCTGGTTGATGTATTTGTACTATTCTGTTCGAGGTTCTTACCCTTAGTTTGTCGTTAATTGCCCAAATTAATTCAATTGAGCGATTGATATGAATGGCCCTCTTTTAACAGAGACCAAAGGTTACAACTAGGGCAAAAAGTGCGGTCAACGATTATTATAGGTTTAAGTTCAAACATTTCTTTATTACCTTGTACTTATACAGATTTCAGGAAGTTCATTTGGACCACAGTACTGATGAAACATGGTAGTGATCATAGGAAGGAAGACGATTGTTACGTAACTTTTTGCGCCTTATTTCTAACAAAACCTGGCATTTGTTATGACAGGGGTCAATGTCATTGAAAGAGGAAAATTTTGAAGGCAATAAATCGTGTTCTAATGTCGTCGTTTTTCCTTGTCCAACAAAAACGAAATCTATACGCGTTAAAATATAGCTGGATATCTCATTTATGTATGTCAATTCAAAAACATAAATAAATAAAAACTTGTATTAAGTAACCTTTCCTTTCGTAAGCTTTGTTTTAGCGTTCTATGAAAAATATTTTAACTATCATTTCTATAAAACATATGTATCACTATATATATATTTGTTTAATTTATTTCCAACAAGCATGAATTATGTAGCCATTATATTAACTAAACACAGCAAAATATTTAACATGACAATTAATTGTGAGGAATGGGCCACAAAATACCATCAAGAAGCTTTTTCGGAACCACTTCACGCTTAAGTTAACTGGTTTTTCGAGTGCAAACTTAAAGTTTTGCAAGAAAATAATATTAACTTTTCCGACATAAATGTGCTTTATCCTATTCATTTGTGTTAATGGAGTTTTTGAAAACAAAGTATACGGTAATTTTATTAATAATTCTTTATATTCATTTCACATATTTACATATGAGGGCATGCAATCCAATTTAGGGATGATCCGTAAATAATAGAATCAGCCCATGTCTTTACTGACAGCGTGGCGGAAGAAGTTGTTACAGCTGATACGTTTGACGCAATTCTCACATTATGATCCGGATTCACATCCATCATCGCAAATGCAAGTGTTACAACAGGGACCTTTGTGAACGGGGGAGTAAAGTGAATAACTCGGTTTTCTGAACATTTTTGTATGGCGCATTCCATTGGGTATAAAGTTATTGACCCAGTTCGACCTGCCAAAAATATAAACAAGGTAATCATTATCGCAAGCTGTCCGTCGTTCGTGCGTAAGCAATTTCGTGACAGCTCACTAGTGGTTTCATTTCTTGTTTGATTTGAACCAAACTAACACTCAAATTTGTATTTCATCGAAAGACATTAATATAATCTGTATAATAGCACTTAAAACCTTAAAGTTCAGAAACTGTTCAAATGTCGCTTAATATGGTTTTGATCGAGCATTTAGAAAATTCAAATTAGTCAGAATATGGTCTTGTATTTGTTATTTTTTACCAAAATGTCCACTTTCAATTTCGTATTTAGTGTAACAGAATTAAAATATCAAATATGAACAGTAACTGTATTATTATAGATTCTTTTTAAAAATAATAACTATCAAACTTACATCTTTCAAGTTTCTCAGCATTCAAACCAGCTTTAAGATCTGAAAGAAAGAAAAACATGACTAAGAGTCATAGCATGATTACAATTATTGCATTACCTAATGTTAAATGAAGGTTGTTCCCTGTTTTAAAGATTTTTCCCTTTGAATTTGTTTGTTGTTACTTTAAGCGAAAGACCCTGTAAAAAGAATTTTGTCAATGGGCAATACTACGTTTTATCAAAATTAAACATGTTACAAGCCAACGCCCATACACATTTGTGTTACTTTTATACCCAATTCACCAAATTCTATTAGATGATTTATTGATAGATTTCTATTGTTTGTAGGCACAGACATAAGGACTTATTTCATTAAAAAAGTTTCTGCAGAAACTCTGGTCCGGTCATCTTAAAAATATTTACTACCTTTTTTCAGAGCCAGATAAGTTTTTTAAAAGAGCAACCACGTCTATTTTGAGCATAGATAATACAAACCTACATGTCAAGACACATATATCGAAGTATTTTCCCCCATTTTAAGACAGATACTAGTACTCAAAAATAAATATAGATGATTTAAAATTCTAAATGAATATCCATTACAAAGCGTTTATATCTATATTTGGAGAGCTGAGTGAGATACTTGATTCAAAATATATATGGAATATTATTCTGTAGTACGAAAATATTGAATGTGGTGTATGGATTATAGTTTAGAATTCAAGTAAAGCCCTGGAATTGATTTGTCCTATTCAGTTGTCTTGGTACTATTGACATTTGCTTGTAAATAAGGATGATTTTACTTTGGTTTCAGAAAAAATGTCAGGCTTTTATATGTATTATTTTGTTCTTGGAAATATGGATTATTGTTTGTTGGTCAGTATTGTCTCAGGTATGCGATTAAGCAAATAATTTTGGAAAGCAATCTCTGCACATAATTTTAACATCAACGATGGGTTTTATTTATTCATAAGAAGAACAATTATTGAAGAAAATAAATTTATTTCATAATAAATAATGAAAATGCTGGAGAACTTAATAAATCATATGTTAATACATCATTTTTAGCAAAAAAAGTACATTATATGTAAAAAAATACAATATAATTAAAAGTTAAAGTGCTCATTAGTGTTTCATTTTTTGTATATTTTTTTGTGTCACAACTTTAGAATCTCTAGCTTACCGACCAGAAAAATATAACTATGACTGCATTTCTATTTGGATTAACCTTGGTCATCTAAAACGCAATTTGCACGAAATAAACGGGTATCGTTAACTACTGAACTGTAGTGTAACATTTAAAAAAAAGTACATGTGCATGACATACGTCGCAGAAGAGAACCGTTAACCTTATTAACATATGTGCACAAAGCCTGATCAATTTAATTAAAGACTTAAAATAAATAATGTTGAAATAATGTGGATGTAGTGTCATCAAATTAAATACTTATGAGAACATAATTTACAACAAACGTGTATTTTACCTGCTCCTTATTTTGCATGTTCAGCCTTCAATTGAGCAACATCCTGATAATGTGTGACATTCAGCTGAGCAACATCCTTATAATGTGTGGCATTCAACTGAGCAACGTCCTGAGACTGTGTAGCCTTCAAGTTGGCAACTTTTTGGGAATATATAGCATCTAATTGACCCACCTCCTGATCATGTTTACCCTTCATATGAGCGATATCTTTGGCTTGGGAAGCCTTCAGTTGAGTGATATCTTTCGCATGGGAAGCCTTCAGTTGAGCAATAGTTGTATTTAGCTCCCCAATCTCAGTTCGAAGTTGATGTATGGCTTCTGCAATGGATACTGGATCATGAAGTAGAAGACGTTTATTCTCGCTGATGACTTCGCTCGATACAATTACTAAAAAGAACTGAATGCATGAAAACTTCATTGTGTAACGTGGCAGCACTACGTTCCGTTGGTAAATGTTTCCTTCGTTGATTTGGTGCGCAAAGTACGATTACGAGTTTTTAGATAAGCTGTGACATTTTAATAGTGTAAAGGTACTTTTAATTAATCACTCTTCTCTGCTATGCACATATTTGTTCATTTTTAGAAAATGACAATTATCGTGAGTGTTCATTATCAAAAACACTAAAATGTGTGGGGTACTTTTCATTTTACTACAAATGGCTCGCTTTTTATCTTTCCTAGCTTATAACTCATTAAATACATTGTTATACATTCTAACTATACAAAAAGGGACAAAAGCGTTTTTCCTCGTTGTTAAATAAGATCATTATGTTTATGTGTTGAATTTTAGCAATATTGCATGTTCTATCTATGTCTCATGCCTGTAATGTTTCTTACGCTCGCTTTTTTATATAACAAGAGCTGTCACAGGAGATAGCGAAGCTCGACTAATAAAATACTGAACACAGTAAGGAAGACAAAACTATGAAAAATAATCAATTATGTATAAGTATGTATTAAGTTATAGTAAAAAAATAAAATAGTTAACATAAATTCCAAGATCAAGGGGAATAATTCTAGAAATAGTCATGCTAGAGTTATGAACCGTGTCACACAACATGTGTGTAATGGTAAGAAATATATATTTGAACTTTGAAGTAGATACCTTAAAAAGTAATGAAGTTATAAATCTGTAAATATTTCTTCAAGAGTTATGAACATTGTCACATAAAATGTAATTGATGATAAGGAATAAGTTTGTGAAGTTCGAGGTAGATACCTTTAAAACTAAAAATGTTATAGTATAAAAATAACATTTTTCTAGTAAAAGTTTATGGGGAGATAATTCTTGCAATATTGATGCTAGATTTATGAACCTTGTCACATAACATGTGGTTAATGATAAGGTACATACATTTGAAGTATGAAGTTGATCCCTTAAGAAATAAATAAGTAACAGTAAAAAATAATATTTTTAAGGAAAATTCTAAGTTCAAGGGGAGATAAATCTGAAAATATTGGTGCTAGAGTTGTGAACCTTGCCACATAAGATGGGGATGATGATAAGGTACATATATTTGAAGTATGAAGTTGATCCCTTAAGAAATAAAGAAGTAACAGTAAAAAATAATATTTTTTAAGGAAAATTCTAAGTTCAAGGGGAGATAAATCTGAAAATATTGGTACTTTGTCACATAACATGTGGTTAATGATAATGTACATATATTTGAAGTATGAAGTTGATCCCTTAAGAAATAAATAAGTAACAGTAAAAAATAATATTTTTTAAGAAAAATTTTAAGTTCAATTGGAGATAAATATCAAGATATTGGTGCTAGAATTATGAACCTTGTCACATAAGATGGGGATGATGATAAGGTACATATATTTGAAGAATGAAGTTGATCCCTTAAGAAAAAAGATGTAACAGTCAAAAATAGTATTTTTTTAAGGAAAATTCTAAGTTCAAGGGGAGATGAATCTGAAAATATTGGTTCTAGAGTTATGAACCTTGTCACATAAGATGTGCTTGATGATAAGGAAAATATATTTGAAGTTTGAAGTTGAAACCTTAAGAAATGACAAAGTTATAGTGAAAAAATTTTACTGCACCTAAACTTTAATCTGAAATCTGGACGCGGACGCAGATGCCGACGCCGACGCCGGGGCGAGTAGGGCAGCTCTCCATATTCTTCGTTTAGTCGAGCTAAAAATCACTTCAAGTAAATAACAATACATGATGATTAGCATGCATTGTAAGAAACAAAATGTACACCTTAATATAAAATATAAAAATTCCAAGCCTTACAGGCCATTTGATATTTGAACTAAATAAAACAAGACACATTTATTTGCATATTTATATATTTATTAAATTTACATGTTTGGACATGCAATCCAGTTAAGGCTTGATAGGTAGATAACTGTATCAGCCCATGTATGGACGGTTAACGTTGCAGAAGACGTTGTTACAGCTGATACGCTTGACCCAATTCGAAAATTTCTATCCTTATTGACATCCATAGATGAAAAAGCGAATGTGACTACTGGAACCTTTGTAAACGGGGGAGAAAAGTGAATAACTTGACTCTCTGAACATTGTTGCTGGGCGCATTCTTCGTGGTGGAAACCTATCGATCCTGTCCGACCTGTCAAAAATCAATTTTATGCCAATCAATTTACTAGTATGTTTGTGTTATCTTTAGTTTTAGAGATTAGAGAGTGTTTATGTTACTAGTTTGTAATTATTGTAATCGTTGTTTGGCGCATTCCTCATGGTGGAAACTTATTGACCTAGTTCAACCTGTCCAAATATATATATAGTGGTCACGGTGAGCTTTGTGATTGCATTATATCGGTCGTCCATGCGTTAGACCGTGCGTCAGAAAGTTCCTGTCAGCTCAGTGTAGTTTCATTTTTTTGTTTGATTTGAATTAAACTAACACACAATTGGTATCATATAAAATAAAAAAATAAAATTGAAACATCAAATTTGAACAGTGACTTATAATAAGAGATTTTACATAAGTATAATAACTATCATACTTACATCTTTCAAGTTTCTCAGCATTCAAACCAGCTTTAAGATCTGAAAAATAGCAATCACAGCATAAATACCATTTTTGAAATAGAGAGAATTCTACCAAATATAAAATGAAGGTTGTTCACTGTTTACTGTTTAACAGATTTTTTGCTTTACATTTGTTTGTTGTAACTTAAAGCAAAAGGCCCTGCCAAAGAAAAAACAAGAAAAAAAACTCTCGGACAATGGATCCGGATTTCGTAAATGTTACGATTAATCAAAAATTATTCCTGTTACAAGGCAACGCCCATACGCTAACTTTGTACTTTGGAGATAATGTGTGGTTCATATATTTTACATACTGTATGTAGAATAGAAATAAAAAATTCAAAACCCGTGCTTCTTTTAACTTATCGGAAAATGCTGATAATTGTGATACACAGTGTTATTATATCACCACAGTATTTTATAAATTTATCGCGTGGCAAATCTGTATATATATTTGCATCTTATTTGTCTATAATTAACGAGATGGAGTCTATATCAAATATGTTACATCGAAATACTGAATCAAATTGAGAAATATTCTATTTTGTTATAGTATTTGATATATTAAGGAATTCATTGGCATTATTTAGTTCTTGGAAATATGGATTATTGTTTGTTGATCAGTATTATCTCGGGCATATGATTAGGCAAATAATTTCGGACAGCCATCTCTTTCGCTGCACCTATAATTTTAACATCAACTATCGGGTTTTATTTATTCATAAGAAAAAAACGGTTGATTGATATCGTCCGGTACCTACCATCAAGATCAAATATTGAAGAAAATAGATTTATTTCATAATAAAAAAGAATTTGTAGGAGAACTTAATAAATATACATACAATGTAATTAAAAGTAAATGTTCATTAGTGTTTCATTTTTTTTATCAATATCTTTGATGTCACAACTTTAGAATTCCTGGCTTGTACCAACCAGAAAAATATAACTATGACTGCATTTCTATTTGAATTAACCTTGTTCATCTAAAAGGGAATGTGCACAAAATAAACGGAGTAGCATTTAAAAAAGTACATGCACATTGATACGTCGCAGAAGAGAACTTTTAAAGGGATGACAAAAAAATCAAAATTATCTTATGTACTCAAATCACACTAAAATGAAATTTGTAAAAGTCCCAGCATGAATTTCTGTATAAATTCTTTTTTGGCGGTTTGAAGCGTAAATATTTTTATATATGTTGAACAAAATTGAGCCGCCAAGAGAATCACCGAGTAGTTTTAAAACTGGATCAAACCCTGGTAGTTACAATTACAGCTATTGTGGATATTGTATGATTGGCACAAACCTAAATCATTCATTTGGCGTTTTCTTTAACGATTCCAGACTTCTCTGTTAAAAGTAATGTGGAATCTTAACGCTCTAACCTTACCTGCGTAGGTCAAGTTAGGAAACCACCATTTTATTCCTTATAAGCTGAAAAGTTTTGTTCCTGTGATTGCCTAGTGTACTCATTTTGAGGAAATTTGCAGATTAATAAATGAAAAATTCAAAACGAAGAAATAAAAATTTTGCTTGTGTCTCCCTTTAACCTTATTTACATATGTGCACAAAGCATGACCAATTTAATTAAAGACTACAAGAAACTATTTTTTTAAATCATGTGGATGTAGTGTACATATGAGAACTTATATTACAACAAACTTTACCTGCTACTTCTTTTGCGTGTTCAGCTTTTAGTTGGGCAACATTCTGATAATGTGTGACATTCAACTGAGCAACATCCTGGAAATGTTTGGCATTTAATTGAGCAACATCCTTATAATGTGTGGCATTCAACTGAGTAACGTCCTGAGACTCTGTTGCCTTCAAGTTGGCAACTTCTTGAGAATATAAAGCATCTAATTGTCCCACCTCCTGATCATGTTTAGCCTTCATTTCAGTGATATCTTTCGCATGGGAAGCCTTCAGTTGAGCTATAGTTGTATTAAGCTCCCCAATCTCAGTTCGAAGTTGATGTATGGCTTCTGCAATGGATACTGGATCATGAAGTAGAAGACGTTTATTCTCGCTGATGACTTCGCTCGATACAATTACTAAAAAAAGCTGAATGCATGAAAACTTCATTGTGTAACGTGGCACTACTACGTTCCGTTAGTAAATGTTTCCTTCGTTGCTTTGGTGCGCAAAATATGATTACGAATATTTAGATAAGATGTGGTATTTTAATAGTTTGTTCCAATTTCGTTAAAGGTACTTGTAGTAAACCACTCTTCTCTGCCATTAACATATTTCTCATTTTTATAAAATGAAAGCTATCGTGAGTGTTTTTCTATCAAAATACTGAAATATGTGGGTCCTTTTAATTTTTATAAAAATGGCACACCTTTTGTCTATTCTAGCTTACAACTCATTAAATACGTTGTATTACATTCTTAACTATACAAAAAGGGACAATAGAGTTTTTCCTCGTTGTTGTATTAGAGCATTGTCTTTATGTGTGTTATTTTAGCAATAATGCATATTCTATCCATGTTTTATGCATGTTTTGTTTCTTATTAAATACATTAATTGCAAACGCTCGCTTTTTGTGAAAACACCATGTCTCCAAGCAAATAACGAATAAGGCACGATGATAAGCATGCATTATAAGAAAAATATTAATGTTAAACTATATTATGCATACTTGTATTTTTTATAAAATATTTATAAAATATAAAAAATACCAAGTCTTACAGGCCATTAGATATTCGAACAATATAAAACAAGACACATTTATTTGCACATTTATATATTTCATAAATTTACATATTTGGACATGCAATCCAGTTAAGGCTTGATCCGTAGACAACTGAATCAGCCCATGTATTGACTGTTAACGTAGCAGAAGACGTTGTTACAGCTTTGACGATGGACCCAATCCGAAAATTTCTATCCTTATTGACATCCATAGCTGAAAAAGCGAATGAGACTACAGGAACCTTTGTAAACGGGGGAGAAAAGTCGATAACTTGACTCTCTGAACAGTGTTGCTGGGCGCATTCTTCGTGGTGGAAACCTATCGATCCTGTCCGACCTGTCAAAAAATCAATTTTATGTCAATCAATATATTTGTGTTGTCTTTGTTTAAAGAGACAAGTATTTAAACCAGGGTGTTTATTTCAGTTTTTATTTATGGTAATCGTAGTTTTAATCTGTCTTTTTGATAGCAAAGTGCAAGGCTTCAAGCAGATTAAGTTTGGTCAATAGTCATGGATGAGTAAAATAACGTTTAGGATTTATGACCACAAACATGATATTTCTTTAATCACATGGCTTCATATCAATATGCAAACATTTAAAGAAATATACACGTTTTATGTGCTTTATCAAAATAAAAAAAATTTGAAAGTTGAGATCGATAGAAATGAAAGTTGAAAATCGATGACTCGGTTGTAGTAAGTCATGTGCCAACATAACATCATGTTTAGCTGTTTAAATATATATTATGATTAAATTTGATATTTGAAATAAAACTGATAATTACTTTACATTCTCTTTTGAAATGTAAAAAAAAACATCTTTTGAATACACTCAGAGAAAAAAGGTTATGTTTTAAACTCTACACATTATAGGTAATCACAGTATGATTGCGTAGTGTCATTAAAATAATGGCAGTTTTTATACAAAAAAAACAAGCTAATTTGACAAGCAATAGAAAATAAAGCTGCCCAATCAAAATAAATACATTCACTTCAAATAATGACCCAGAATCCGTTAAGAAAATATGATGTGATAGAGCAATGTTTAGAGAAATCTAAGCCTATAGTTACGAAATTATTTAGGATTATTAACATATTGAATTCTATCTTGAAGCGCCAATAATTGTGCGTCATCTGGTTAATGATAAACTATGTTAATGTTTGGGTAAAAAGGTTCTATCGCAGAAATTTATTGAAATCAAGTCAATCTTCTTGAATATGTCTACCTCAGGTGTCCCTCTATACATTTTACAGGCACAAACAGCCATCTGAGTAGAACCACTGACATTCCATAAGCTAGCTGGATAGCTTTCTTACATCAAAGAATCCGAAGACGCTAGTGCGACTCAAAACTACAGCGGTTTGAAGTCAACGACCTTAACCACTCGCCTACGGACGCCCATGAAGCCAATACTGTTGAGAATGATCAAGCACACACAGATCTGCTGCGTTCTTTGATTAAAATTGGACAGTTGGATGTTATCCATGACAAAGAAAAATTAAGCGATGATCCAAGTATTCTTTCCCGTGACTACAGATTTATTAAAACCTTATCTGCAGCTTCCGCTTATAAATTGGTTCACCATTTAACTCGCCATGTATTCCCGTAATTGGTTTCGTAAAAAATAAACTTAAAGATAACCAGTGGGTATATGTTTCAAAAGAATTTACACAAACGTAGTAATCATCATACTTACATCTTTCAAGTTTCTCAGCATTTAGACCAGCTTTAAGATCTGAAAGAAAAAAAAACATAACAAGATCTATAGGGTCAAAGTATATTAACATTGTTGAATACTAAATGCAAAATTGTGGTTAAGCTCAAGTGAGATTCCCTGTAAAGATGTGTTTGAAGACCTTTTATTTGTTGCGTCTAAAGCTATAGGTTCACACATTTTCTAACCTTACAACTCAATCCCAAATAGAGAGGAAATTATAAGTATTCTAAAGGTATCAGAACTCCTGGACATATATTGACGAAAAAAAAACTGTGCACTTGGGTTTAACTGTTGTTTTTTCAGGCTAGTCTTGTAAAAACATTTAAATGGCACCATAATCTAGATATTCATCCGCCAACATGATGCAGTGTATTGTGTCATAATAAAAAATAAACGCCGCTATTTGTTTTTTTTTTCACGATTCCAGTTAATATGCCGGTATATAACTAAAGGAACATTTTTTTCATGTTTATGTGGATACAATTTAAACCAAATCGTGCATTCATAAACCTGTCCCCCTTACTAAATGAGTTTTACCTGCTACTTCTTTTGCGTGTTCCGCTTTCAGTTGAGCAACATCACGAGAATGTGTGGCATTCAAATGAGCAACATCCTGGGAGTGAGAAACCATCATTTGAGCAATAGTTGTATTCAGCTCTTCAATCTTTGTTCCCAGTTGATGTAAGGCATTAGCAATAGATTCTGGATCGTGGAGAAGTAGACGTTTGCTTTCTAGGCTGCAAGATTCATGCAATAAAATTGCCAAAAGGAACTGAATAAGTAAAGATTCCATAGTGCACTGACCTATAACTTAACATATGTTTGTGAACTTCGTAATATTTTAGTTTAATTGTTCTTATCTAGATAAAATTTGACATTATATTAAATCACCTTTTATAAAGACGGTAACCTTTCTTTATAAATGTTTAAGAATTTAAAACATCTAGAACATGTGTGTTTATTGGTAGAACTTCAGAGGTTATACAAGTCAAGTTATGACGATAAGAGAGTCTGTTTTGTGCTATATGTCCTGATAATAGGAGTCGATAGGATGACAATATCTACCAATGACGTTAGAAGAGCCTGCTTCTAGAGTGCCCATTCTCCAACGCTAACAGCAGGCATAAACATTACAGCATAGACTGCATGAAATCATCTGTTGTAATTCAAAATTAGCAAATCCTGCTTTTCATGTAAAATTAGTTTATGTTGACGTGTTATTAAAGACTGATCATTACTGTTGTACAAAACTAATGCATTAGTATTTTTCATGCCATAACTTTGATAAAGTGCGTGTCTTTACCTCATCGAAACATAGTAAAATGAAATGAAGAGATCGGAATATTTTTACCCTTTTTATCTAGTTTGAAAGTATTTAACTGACAAACTTTGATTCGAATAGATTTCTTTTTAATATAATTGTCTCAAGATTACATTTTACTTAAAACATTTGGGACTCTTTCTTAGAGATATTTCTTAGAGATATGGCACATTACTGCACGCGGCATGAAGTCGAGAGGTTCTTGACAGGTTTTGTTTTCATGAATTTGAAATTTAAAGAAAGAAACGCTTATTAAAATTAAACATATGATGAATAGAATACAAACAAGTGTCTGATATAAAAATTATCAGACTTGGCAGGTAAGCGCCCTTCATTTTTTCTTACCCTTGCCTGATGAAGTTTGTTAGCATGGTATTCTCTATTCATTCATCGTCTTACATTTCAAACATATAGAAGATAGAAGACAATCCACCTTTATAAAGACAAATAAAATAGGACACACATCGTTTGATAACAGTTGAAAGCACCGAAATGACGCTAAACTCTGCGGCCATGCGGTCTTATCTAATTTTCATAGTGCTTCTTATAGACATTTATGTCATTTTGAAAGGACTCCACTGGGTTTTTTTTGCATGATGGGACAAGAAATAATTTCCGGATATTAATATTTCATTTAATGTATATCTTGACCTGTACCTTAAGTGAAAAGTTTTAGATTATACCCTATGTGTATTTTAAGAAGTAGAACTTATATAATACACTATATATATATACAACGCGTCTAAACCAGGAGTATATATTTATATCTTTTTCAGGATATAGCCCTCAAAATACGCTTTCCGTTTATTTCTAGGTATATTTCCTAATTACATTTTGCATATCTTTTTATGTGTACCATCAAGTCTATGTAAGAAATTAGAATTATATGTTTTTAGACTTTTGGGCCTAAGTTCCTGTAATCAACCAAATTTATGCTGTTGATAAAATTTCTTTTATACTGGAGATGTGTCGGTGCATAAAGAATCTTGTTTTGCAACTGTGTATCGTTAGTAGAAATAATGTCCCACCAACAATACTAAGCAGTTGCATAGCGCATAATGCAGAGTTAAAAGGCATTATGTTGGGTCAATCTGACATTATAAATAATCATGTTAGTGGGTTAGAGTTTTGTTGAGTCAAATTCACTTAATGTCGGGTCAAATCTGCAGAAATCGGACTCCGCATTATGTAGACTAGAATGGCGTTATGTTGGGTGAATTAGACATTATATAGAATCAGATTTGTGTTATATTGGGCAATCTGGCATTACGTCGAATCAGATTGGCATTATGTTAGGTCAAATAGACATTATGTAGAATCAGATTGATGTTAAGTTGGGTCAATCTGACATTATGTAGAATCAGATTGATGTTAAGTTGGGTCAATCTGACATTATGTATAACCAGGTTTTCAAGTTCCTGTGGAAAAAAATTCAATATTCTTATCTAGAGCTAGCATGCCTCCCAAAGTTCATGATGAACCATGTCTTTTGTCTGCCCCTTCATAAATGATAAACAATTCTGGTAAAACCTAATTACCCATTGAAAAGTTTATAAGAATATCTGTTCATCAGATGTTTACTAGTTCATCGTCACTTGCTGCATTTCTTGCTTGGATGCCCTTTGATCCTTTGCATCAATGCTTTTCTTGTACACTAATGGGACAAGACCATTTTTCCTCGTCCTGTATGAATATCTATAAATCTGAATATATAAGAGTTTATGTTGGTTGAAAAAATACTTCATCATTCTACGTTACGTTCATAAAAACATCACAATCACTTTTATTGAAGACAACGCAATAGATAGTATGTTTAGTTTATTTGCGGAAAACTCTAATCTAAAAAAAAATATGTTATTAAAAATATTTTAAATGAGATATTCAACAGTAATTATTTAAGTAAAATATGTTCAAATGTATTGGAGAGGTAAATACTAAATGTATTGAACAATGACTTTGAAAGTTTTAGGCTTGTATGTTTTGATAAATTGTTTTTTGTGTTAAATGTCATTCCCTTTTGTACAGAGAATCGTTTCCTTATTACGTATATATTATGTAACGTCGATTTGAAGAATAAACGCATTCTCACTGGAACTCTGGTTCATGTTTTTATAAGGAGTAAGATTGTTTACCAAGAAATGGGGATTTTGTTGTTCATAAGAAAAATTGACAGGGGTTTCCAATTCTCTATCCAACCAATTGATAAATTCAATTAGTATTTTATGTAAGAAAGAAAACTAGCAATGAGATAGTTTTATTTATATAGACCTCACATATTTGGACATGCAATCCAATTTAGTGTTGATTGGTAATTTTCAGAGTCGAGCCATGTTCCGACTGTTAAATTAGCAGAAGACGTTGTCACAGATGAAACCTATGAGTATATCCGAGTGTTAAGATTTTTGTTTACGTCAATCCTAGAAAAAGCAATTGCTATCACAGGAACCTTTGAAAATGAAGGAGAAAAATGAATAATCCGACTTTCCGTACAATTATGAGTTGCACATAATTCATGACCAAAATCAACTGACCCTGTTCGACCTGAAATAAAAATGTAAGCACTTATTTATGTTTTATTAAACAAATACTTGAAGCCTTCTATCGTTTATTTTCCAACTCCGATTCCATAAGCTACATTATATAGCTGTTTAAAATGTACCACATATTATTCATGTATAAATTGTGTAAAAGTAATGTTATAAGTTTGATCTATAACTAGATGTGGTGTATTGTTGTGTGCTTTAAAATTCATAATTAGTAAAGATCATTGGCAATATTCTCATCAAACATATTTGGCCCGTCATTAAAAGCAAGAAATCCACGGGATTGGATTTTCTCTCGATGTTTTTATTTGACAAATACTTGAAGTCCAGGCTTTTTGGTGGCTTTGGCACATACATCAAACGGATATTTAAATCTCTCTAAAACACTAAAATAATGGATAATTTATTTGCTGCAATTATCCGGCGATTAAATAAATGTGTAATATGTATTAAAGACGTGTTGATGGCGAACCAATTATAGTTTTGCCCAAGCAGTGACTTTGCTAAAACAAGAAATAAGAACAGCATTTAACATATGCGACCATTTTGACAAAAATCTAGTATCCATATTCCATTAATCACGATAAGGTTGTCCCTGTACCGTCATTAATTCTTACGTACTAACGTACCAAATTGAGGCCAAAAAAATAAGATTACAATATCACCAAGGAAGGGCGGCATTCAATGAAACACATCCCCCCAAAAAAACAACTAGAACTCCTTATAAATTCATATATGCATGAACAAAAGATTTCTCTTTTTCCATGATTTAAATAATCATAACAGATCATAATTACTGTTTGCCACTTTAAGAACGTTGCATGTTTGTGAATTCACAAATAAGATCATTTGAAGCCTTAACTATAACCAATAACACTGCACATTGTGCATCTGTACCTTAATGGCATAGTAACGCTTTCATTCAGGCAGAACTAGAGTCTAAAATTGTAATAAAGGAAACGTATGATACGTAACAGTGAATGAAAACAAGCAAAAATCTATATAAAGATAACCCGTCAAATAACATGATGGATCCTTAACGTGCCCAGTTGGAGGTCTTTTGTCGTCCATTTTGTTATAGTGTTTGCTATCTCTATTCTGATATGCTTTGGGCTGGCGTTATACGGGTGGAAATATCAATTCTTGTTAACTGTATACATTTCCGTCCAGGAACGGAGATAAATAGTGGTTATGTTAAATAATTTACCAATAGTTAATTTTTAAAATACCGGACCAGCAATCGTACTCACATCTTTGAAGTTTTTCAGCATTCAATCCAGCTCGAAGATCTGAAAAATACAATAACATGACTTTTTCTAAGTTCAAGATATTAAGGTAACTAATTTTTATTTCATTGGTTGGGTTTTACGCCGCACCAACACATATTGAAGACATCAGGGCACTTAGGTAGAACCACCGAAGTTCCGGGAGCTAGCTGGATAGCTTCATAACATGAAATAATCCAAAGTCCCCGGTGTGGTCCGAACCCACAGTAGTGATGGCAAGTGGTTTTAAGTCTACGACCTTAATCACTCGGTCACGGATGCCAGAAATCCTTACTAAATAAATAAAAAAGACAAACAATATACAATAAAGAATAAGTATGAATTGCATCTTCAAATTGCAATATTGCCATACATAATATACATCAAAGATTATTTTTTATAACACACTTGGAACCTGTGCACAATGAAAGTTGTATTTATTATATATTTTGATTAAATCAAGAGATAAATGTTATCCAATTACAAATATATACACTACCTGCTACTTCTTTTGCATGTTCACCCTTTAACTGAGCAAATGTGGCATTTAATTGAGCAACGTCCCGAGACTGTGTAGCGTTCAAGTTGGCAACTTCTTGGGAATATATAGCATCCAACTGACCGATCTCCTGAGCATGTTTGGCTTTCATGTCAGCAATAGTTGAATTTAAATCCCCAATCTCAGTTCGAAGTTGAAATATGGCTTCTGCAATGGATACCGGATCATGAAGTAGAAGACGTTTATTCTCGCTGATGACTTCGCTCGATACAATTACTAAAAGAAGCTGAATGCATAAAAACTTCATTGTGTAACGTGGCAGTACTACGATCCGTTAGTAAATGTTTCTTTCGTTGCTTTGGTGCGCAAAATATGATTACGAATATTTAGATAAGACGTGGTATTTAAATAGTTTGTTCCAATTTTGTTAAAGGTACTTGTAGTAAACCACTCTTCATCAGCCAATGTATTGACTGTTAACATAGCAGAAGACGTTGTTACAGCTGATACCCTTGACGTAATCCGAATATTATGACCTGCATGCACATCCATCATCGCAAATGCGAATGTAACTACAGGAACCTTTGTGAACGGAGGATTGAAGTGTATGACTTGACTCTCTGAACATTGTTGCTGGGCGCATTTTTCGTGGTGGAAACCTATCGATCCTGTCCGACCTGTTAAAATCAATTTTATGCCGATCAATATATCTGTGTTGTCTTTGTTTTAAGAGACAAGTATTTAAACTAGGGACTGTTTATTTTAGTTTGTATTTATGGTAATCGTAGTTTTTGTCTGTCATTTTGGTAGTAAAGAGCAAGGCTTCAAGCAGATTAAGTTTGGTCAATAGTCATGGATGAGTAAAATAACGTTTAGGGCTATTCGACCACGAACATGATATTTCTTTAATATCAATATGGAAATATTTAAAGAAATATATAGAGGATATTCAAGTTTTTTCTATAAATACATGATTTATTTTCATTGAGTGGTATGAAAATAAATATTTCATGAGTGGCGGTAGCCACGAGTGAAATATGGTAATTTTCATGCCACAAGATGAAAATAAATCATGTATTTATAGAAAAAACTTGAATTTTCTGTTTATTTTATATATATTTTTCTTTTTTGCGATAAAATTTGAAATACTTTCCCTTAAATTTTGTGTACTGGCAGAATTTAAAAGAAAGTAGTCCGGCAAGACACCAGTGAAAATACGGAAAATATGTTTCACTGCAGTGAAAAATAAATTTTTACAGTGAAAATACGGAAAATGAAAATACGCATTTTATTTCATCAATATTTCTCAATATTTCATTTATAAGTATATAATAAACACGTTTAATGTGCTTTATCAAAAAAGTTTGTTTATTTAAAGTTGGGATCGATAGAAATGAAAGTTGAAAATCGATGACTCGGTTTTAGTAAGCCATGTGCCAACATAACATCATATTTAGCTATTTTAATATATATTATGCTTAAAATTGATATTTGAAACAAAACTGATAATTACTTTACAGTCTCTTTTGAAAGGTGAAAAATATCTAGAAAATATGATATGTTTTAACATGCTTAAAGTCGATGTCGAAGGAAATAAGACATATAATAAAAGTAATTGGGCTTATCAAATTAAAATTATACTTGATAAATGCGGACTTTTGTATATTTGGCAAAACCAATATAGCATGTTAATTGACTATAATATTATTGAACGACGCATATTATATATTTATTATCAAAGTTGGTATTGTTCTATCAATAATTCTAGTCGTCTAGATACATACAGTTCTATAAAATATAAATTTGAATGTGAAAGTTATCTTAATTATATTAACGACAAAAGATTTCGAGTTGCGCTTACAAAATTTCGCACATCATCTCACGACTTGTTTATTGAAAAGGGAAGATATACAAACGTACCTAGATTGGAAAGAATATGCAATAATTGTTCTTCGAGACAAATTGAAAACGAATTTCACTTTTTGTTTACATGCTCACAATATGCTGACCTTCGCAAAAATATCAGAAATTGCAGAAATTTACTAATTTATTATTTTCTGAATCTAAAATAATTGTAAGAGATCTTTCTAAATATTTATATTATGCAAATTTGATTAGAAAATAGTTTTACAGAACCTCAAACACGTCATAATTATGAATTCATATGTTTTAAATTGTATTTTTGTGCTCCTTGAAAAATCCATGTCTTCTGCCTATAGTTATGTTGTATGTGCTATAAACATATATTGTATGTTTAATGCAATAAACTTATTTGAGTTGAGTTGAGTTTTAAACACTACAAACTATATGAAATCAAAGTATGATTGCGTATGGCCTCAACAGACGGTAGGATTTAGTTATACAACACTAATTAGAGATAAGATGTACAATTTTCAAAGTAATACAATACTTGCATTCAAACCGTAATTCTGCATTATCAGGGAATCATCTCAGGTTTCCCTAATAAAAGTTCCCTCCCAATTGATCCTTTACATACTTTACTCACTATTTTTTCTCCATGAGTGATGATTGAAACACCTCCATTTTCTTTAATTGTTAATTTTTTTTAATGTACAGCCTGACCGAGACTCAAGTCTGGGATCCTCGGAATACCGTACTGCGGTTCTTCTGATTGAGCTATCCGGCCGCCTACAAACTACCTCCCCTGATTAGAGAACAGTTAAATACCGTGACATAATCATTTTCGGAACAATGGGATTCAAACATACCACAGCTTAGGGTCTCCTGAAGAGTTTTTCAACATCATTTTCACCCCATCTTTCTACTATGTTTACCTTTTAGCCCTTATTGTTCTGGAATTTCATTCATTACACCCATTATCAAGAGATAATTTAATAATCTGTAACTTGTCATTGTGGGAGGTCTGTAGAAATTTGCACGACAAGATTTTCAAAATAGAACATGTCCTATCTCTTACATCTAGACTTAAGGTTTACGAATTCAAGAAATAGTAGCTTCACACATAAATATTTGCTTGTCCATCTTAGTTTTAATTGGTGTTATACTTCAAAATACTATCGTCTATTGAGGCCTGTAGTGTCATTAATATACTGGCAGTTTTTATACACAAAAAAAACCAAGCTAATTTGACAAGCAATAGGAAACGAAGCCTTCCAATCATAATATATATATTTACTTTTTCAAAATAGACATATTCAAGAAGGATTGACTAGATTTCAATAAATTTCTGCGATAAAACTTTTTTACCCAAACATTAGCATAGTATTATCATTAACCAGATGAAGCACACTTATTGGCGTTTCACGATAGAATTCAATATCTTAATAATTCTAAATAATTTCGTAATTTTAGGCTTTGATTTCTCTTAACATTGTTCGATCACATCTTATTTTCTTAACGAATTCTGGGTCATTATGTTTTTATCTTCAAAATAAGACCATTTGGCGGCTTTTCAGCTTTATTGGTGAACGAATACCTCAGATGTCCCTCTATACATTTTACAGACCAAACAGGCATCTGAGTAGAACCACTGACGTTCCGTAAGCTAGCTGGATAGCTTTCTCATATCAAAGAATCCGAAGACGCTATCGCGACTCAAAACTACAGCGGTTTGAAGTCAACGACCTTAACCTCTCGCCTACGGACGCCCATGAAGCGAATACTGTTGAGAATGATCAAGCACACACAGATCTGCTGCGTTCTTTGATTAAAATTGGACAGTTGGATGTTATCAATGACAAAGAAAAATTAAGCGATGATCCAAGTATTCTTTCCCGTGACTACAGATTTATTAAAACCTTATCTGCAGCTTCCGCTTATAAATTGGTTCACCATTTAACTCACCATGTATTCCCGTAATTGGTTTCGTAAAAAATAGACTTAAAGATAACCAGTGGGTATATGTTTCAAAAGAATTTACACTTACATTTAGTAATTATCATACTTACATCTTTCAAGTTTCTCAGCATTTAAACCAGCTTTAAGATCTGAAAGAAAAAAACATAACAAGATCTATAGGGTCAAAGTATAATAAACATTGTTGAATTCTAAATGCAAAATTGTGGTTAAGCTCAAGTGAGATTCCCTTATTGAACACCTTTTATTTATTGCGCCTAAAGCTAGGTTCACACATTTTCTAACCTTACAACTCAATCCCAAATAGAGAGGAAATTATAAGTATTCTAAAGGTATCAGCTGGAGGCAATGAAATATCACGCCAAGAGAACTCCTGGACATATACTGACGCAAAAAACTGTGCACTTGGTTTTAACTGTTGTTTTTTCAGGCTAGTCTTGTAAAAACATTTAAATGGTACCATAATCCAGTTAATATACCGGTATATAACTAATGGAACCTTTTTCTGTTTATATGGATAAAGTTTAAATCAAAGCGTGCATTTATAAACCTGTTCAACTTAAACGAATTTTACCTGCTACTTCTTTTGCGTGTTCTGCTTTCAGTTGAGCAACATCACGAGAATGTGTGGCATTCAAATGAGCAACATCCTGTGAGTGAGAAACCATCATTTGAGCTATAGTTGTATTCAGCTCTTCAATCTTTGTTCCCAGTTTATATAAGGCATCGGCAATAGATTCTGGATCGTGAAGAAGAAGACGTTTGCTTTCTAGGCTGCAAGATTCATGCAATAAAATTGCCAAAAGCAACTGAATTAGTAAAGATTCCATTGTGCACTGACCTATAACTTAACATATGTTTGTGAACTTCGTAATATTTTAGTTTAACTGTTCTTATCTAGATAAAATTTGACATTATATTAAATCACCTTTTATAAAGACGGTAACCTTTCTTTATAAATGTTTAAGAATTTAAAACATCTAGAACATGTGTGTTTATTGGTAGAACTTCAGAGGTTATACAAGTCAAGTTATGACGATAAGAGAGTCTGTTTTGTGCTATATGTCGTGATGATAGGAGTCGATAGGATGACAATATCTACCAATGACGTTAGATGAGCCTGCTTCTAGAGTGCCCATTCTCCAACGCTCACAGCAGGCATAAACATTGCAGCATAGACTGCATGAAATCATCTGTTGTAATTCAAAATTAGCAAATCCTGCTTTTCATGTAAAATTAGTTTATGTTGACGTCTTATTAAAGACTGATCATTACTGTTGTACAAAACTAATGCATTAGTATTTTTTCATGCCATAACTTTGATAAAGTGCGTGTCTTTTATCAGTCACTCTCAGCGTTATCAGACACCTCATCGAAACATAGTGAAATAAAATGAAGAGATCGGAATATTTTTACCCTTTTATCTAGTTTGAAAGTATTTAACTGACAAACTTTGAATCGAATAGATTTCTTTTTAATATAATTGTCTCAAGATTACATTTTACTTAAAACATTTTGGACTCTTTCTTAGAGATATTTCTTAGAGATATGGCACATTACTGCACGCGGCATGAAGTTGAGAGGTTCTTGACAGGTTTTTGTTTTCATGAATTTGAAATCTAAAGAAAGAAACGCTTATTAAAATTAAACATATGATAAATGAATACAAACAAGTGTCTGATATAAAAAAAAATTTAGACTTGGCAAGGCCTCTTTTTGTCTTACTCCATTAGACACTAGCATGGTATTCTCTATTCATTCATCGTCTTACATTTCAAACATATAGAAGACAAATCACCTTTATAAAGACAAATAAACTAGGACACACAATGTTTGATAACAGGTGAAAGCACCGAAATGACGATAAACTCTGCGGTCATGCGGTCTTATCTATTTTTCATAGACTAAGTGCTTCTTATAGACATTTATGTCATTTTCAAACGACACAACTGGAGTAGTGGCGACATATAGGGATCACTTCTCCGTCGTCTGTCTGTCCGTCTGTCCGTATGTCTGTCTGTCCGTCTGTCCGTCACAAAACTTGTCCAGACTACTGCTCATAAACTACTGGTGCAATTTCATCCAAACTTTACAGGAATGATCAGTACCAAGTCTAGTTGTGCATATTGTCAGCATTTTCCGGTTCAATAATTTTTGTCAGAGTTATGGCCCTTTAATAATTTTTAATTTTAAAGTTTGTCCGGACTACTTCTCTTATACCACTAATGCAATTTCAATGAAACTTTACAGGATTGATCTGTAGCTCAAGTCCTTGCGCATTTTGCACGGGTTTTCTGGTTGAATGATTTTTGGCCGAGTTATGGCCCTTTGATAAAAAGGTGTTTTTTCTGTGTGTTGCCAGATACACAAAAGCTTGTCCGGGCTACTCCTCATAAACTACTGGTGCAATTTCATCCAAACTTTACAGGAATGATCAGTACCAAGTCTAGTTTTGCATATTGTCAGCATTTTCTGGTTCACTGATTTTTGTCAGAGTTATTGCCCTTTAATAATTTTTATTTTTTAAGTTTGTCCGGACTACTTCTCTTATACCACTTATGCAATTCCAATGAAACTTTACAGGATTGATCTGTAGCTCAAGTCCTTGCGTGTATTGCACGGGTTTTCTGGTTGAATGATTTTGGCCGAGTTATGGCCCTTTGATAAAAAGGTGTTTTTTTCTGTGTGTTGCCAGATACGCAAAAGCTTGTCCGGACTACTCCTCATAAACTACTGGTGCAATTTTATCCAAACTTTACAGGAATGATCAGTACCAAGTCTAGTTGTGCACTGTCCGTCTGTCTGTCCGTCTGTCACAAAATTTGTCCCAACATGTAATTGGCCATCATGAGGCGACACATGTGATTACTGATCGCTCTTGTTTGGCATGAAGGAACTTGAAATAATTGCGGGATGTTAATATTTCATTTAATGTATATCAAGACCTGCAGCTTAAGTGGAAAGTTTTAGATTACACCCATATGTGTATTTCAGAAGTAAAGCTGTACATAATACACTTAAGAAAACGGAGTATACTTTATATATATACTCCTGGTTTAGACCCCGTGGTGTTTCAAGGATAAAGCCCCAAAAATACGCTTTCAATTGATTTCAAAGTATATTTCTTAACAACCATTTGCATATCTTTCCTTTTTTAATTGAACCATCTAGTCTTTGTAAGAAATTTAAAGTGTATAATTTAAGTCTTTTTGGGTCTCAGTGAAGTTCCTGTAATCAACCAAAGATATGTTGTTGCTAAAAGTTCCTATATACTCGAGATTTGTCGGTGCATAAAGAATCTTGTTTTGCTACTGTTAATTGTCCAACCAACAATACTAAGCAGTACATAGCTTATTATGCAGAGTTAAATTGGAATCACATTGGATCAATCTGGCATTATAAATAATCATATCAGTGTTGTGTTGAGTTAGGTTTGAGATCTGTTGATTTAAATTAACATTATGTCGGGTCAAATCTGCAGAAATGGGACTCCACATTATGTAGAATCAGAATGGCGTTATGTTGGGCCAATGAGACATTATTTAGATACAGATTGGCGTTTTACTGGGTCAATAGGACATTATGTACTTAATGGAACTGTAGGTCATATATTTACTTTGAAATTGTGTAATTGATTTTTAATCACAATAAGAATACGAAATTATATTGTGCATTTGTAGATTATAAAAAAACTTTCGTTTCTGTAAAAAAAAACTTTTTTACGGAAGAAACTTTTAATGGTAAAATGCTAAGAGTAATTTAATTGTATTTACGACAAAGCTATATCATGTGTAAAAAGCACTCAGGGTTTATCAACTTATTTTACAAGTGCAACGTACAGGTGTCCGTCAAGGTGAAAATCTATCACCTATTTTCTTTCTTCCTGAATGATCTTGTGGAGCATATTTCATATATGTACAAGAAAAGCATTGATGCAAAGCATCAAAGGGCGTCCAAGCAAGAAATGCAGCAAGTGAAGATGAACTAGTAGACATATGATGACAAGATATTCTTATAAACTACCAGAATTGTATATCACTTATGAATGAGCGGACGAAAGACATTGTACATTATGAACTTTGATTGGCATGCTACAGATTAGAATATTACTTGTTATTTCTTTATGATCGTGGTTATTAATACCAACGGATATAGAGAATAATAGGTTGGTGCCGTGGATGGAGAAAGTTTATCTGGCGAGGCGGAGGAATTTATTGGGTGAGCCGAAGGCTGCACTTGTTCTTAATGAGATCTATCATCCTATTATTCTATTTATCCTGTCACCGTTTTTTTTTTAAAGAATTTTATTAAGCAAACTACCTTTAATCACACTATCGAAAATGTTTCTATATACACAAAGAAGGCCCGAAGCGTGCATTATTCTACAACAATGCACTCGCCGTTCTTATTATCTCCCTGTGTATTTTCACATTGAAGGCGCCATTTTGTTTGAAAAATGTGATAAATAAAAACAATTTTTTGTCGAATTTTGTTGTGAAAACTATCTAGAATGAAAGAAAATGGTCTAACTAAGAAAATGAATTGGAACACCAATATCTTTTATTCAGTCGTAAACGCTGTACAGACGTTTAAAGTATTGTTTACGTGACGTCACAATGTAGCGCCAAACAGCACGTGCAAAACAATCAAATCAAATACGCTATTTTAATGTCGCAAACGAGTTAAGTTATACATTTATTTCACTTTTATAATTTTTATTTCGCTTGAAAAATTATAGAGTGAAATAAAATAAACAAACAAAGTTTTATCAACGTTTCCAAAATTCGTTATTCTACACACAGAAGATTTAACGACAGTTTTTTTCATACCACTGGAACGGCCTGTAAAGAAGTCCGGCAAACCACGTGATCAAGTGCCGTAGATCAGTAAAAATATACGGCACCTTGTTATCGGGCCGAAATTGATACAAGTGACAGGATAAATACATGTATACAATCATTTATAATCCATATGTGTAACGCATGATCAACACGTACCACACTCGTGTAATTGTCCCTTATTATATTATCGCTATTAGCGAAGATCCCCTCTTAAGGTATCTGTTCACACTTAGTAAAAATATGCCACTGGTTATATTACCATGTTGATCATGTTGAGCATAATTGTTTATTATACAATAATTGTAATGTCTATTAATTCTAATAAAAAATAATACAAATTCTATGAATATTGTTTTCTTTTCTTTTTTTTGTGTTTTATGTGCTATTTTAATACTGAGTTTTTATGTTTACTACTTTTTTTATAAAAATTGTAAAATAAATTTTAAGAATTCAATTGTCATATTGACCGACGAGTATAAGACAAAACTTAACTGGAAAAAGTCAGTAAATTAGGGTTAATCTTTCAATATATAATATTGGTTATTCTTAAACCATGTACATGTACATTTGTATTTTCTTTATCATTTTTTAAATTATCAATCAATTGAATAATTCATAAAATATAATTTGTAACTTTGAATAATTGCTCGGCATCTGTACCAAACACGAATAACAAATTAAATAAAAATGTTTCAAAGTTGATCATGTTAATTAATACCATAAAAATGTACCTTTTTTCTCAATTATTGTACATATTTATTGTTTTTATCTCATATAGATAAAATGAAACATGCTATTGTTATTGTTGTTGTTTTGTTGTTTTTTTCGAATTGTAACGATATCAAACATCTACTCCAAAACCGGGAGAGACCGGACAATAAACGTGTAGTACTATTCGCCGGTCACTAGTAAATCCCGGTCAAAATAGACCGGGAGAGACCGGAAATTACCGATAGGAGTGATAAATAGATATATCTATAAATAGACTTTCGGAATATTTAGGTCATCAACTGATCATTCTAGGATACATGTTCAACAATAACATACCATGATAACCCACTGTGTACTACAAAATGATAAATAAAAAAACCCGAAGAGCGCGATTTATTGACGGATAGGAAAAGGTTAT